TAAATATATTAAATAAACATATATAATACAAAAACGGTTTCAGAAAAGAGGGAAGAAAATGAAAAAGAAAAAAAAGTGAAATCCGTTTTTCAGAAAATAGAAAACGAAAATGAGAAAATGAAAACACATTTTTTTCGTTTTCTGATTTCCACAAAAAGACAAAAACGTTTTTGGTTTTGTTTTTTAAAAAAAATTGCACCAAACACGTTTTTAACACCCGTTGTCATTTTTTTGCTTTGAAAACCGTGAAAAATGAAAACGAAAACGCAAACAAACAGGCCCATTGTTTTTTTTTCTCCAATTTTATCTTTTAAGTATATACTTTAAATTTTAATTTTATTGTATCATGAAACTTTTTATGATAATTGTTGTTATTTTGTTTGGTTTTAAGGCAATTTCGTTAAATTTGCATATCATTTCATTAAAATATATCCACCCACTTTTTTTTTTTGAAATTACTATACAATTTAAGTTAGTTTTGTCCCATTTTATTTTATTTTATTTTTGTAGTATGTCTCATTTTATTTTACTCCTAATAATTTCAATTTTAAATGTGTTATTTTGTGTTTTATTACTTGTATTTTGAGCTTATATAAAATTATACTCACGTTCTCAACATTACCTTTTCAAATTTCAGTTTCATATTAAATCTATATCTTCTTTTGGTCAATTTTAGTTTTGGTCACTTAAACGATCACTTTTTTTTTTTTTAAATCTATCATTAATATGTTCAATTTCTCAAGTCTATAGTGTCTATACCACACAACTAGTAAAGTCGTCATTCAAGTGGTCAAAATGAGTATCCTATAGATTAAATAAGAAACTGAAATCTAAGAATATAATGTGGGGAACATCTAAAATTTGTAAGATATATATTTTAACAAGGATAAAATGCAGGCATAAAATAGGAATGACCCATATTAGCTTTTACTATACATCATGAAACTTGAAACTAAATAATTATATTGATTTTCTTTCTTTTCAGTTAATTCCATTATATTTGCATATGTCATTTAATTACAATATTTTCAATGAAATATAATTTAATATTCAAATATTCGTATTAATAAGAGAAGTATCTATTTCCTCTTATGGAATGAAAAGTCTTTATATTAATCTTATCTTTTAAACGGTTTTCTTTATGCAAATCTTATCATTAAACAGTCGTCTTGAGAAAAACTCTAAATATATATATAGTACGCTTTGTAAAAGTCATAGTAAAAGGGACATTTTTTCTCTGATTTCATGCGGATAAAAAGGAGACAAGAGGTAGGTGAAAAACCACAACACCCCAATCACAAATCGTTAGCATATAAATCAATATGACCTAGAATTGCGTTTGGTACGTTATTTATTGACAAAGTGACCAGCAAAATCTCCTTTACCCAACTCTAGACAGTCTAGTTCTTCATAGATTAGAGATTAGCGCCTTCTATCACGATTATGGCAATTTTGTAAAAGTCGTAGTTTCGGATAATTATAACATGACGACATACAAGGATTTCTCTCGCAAGAAACGCAACAACAACGTTTCACATGTGAAGTACCAACTTCAAACATGCCTCTCCTTATTTTATTTATTAATAAGTTTGGCAAATTTTGTTTTGGGTTAAGAAACTAAGACACAAATATTAGTTCTGGAAACATTTTGACTACTCAAGCAGCAAAAGTCGAACACAAATCGAGGATTTTGCCCTATTCGTATGCCATTGATTGCTAAGCAGCCACAGAGGATATTTAGTAGCTTTTCCTAGTTCAAAGTTCAAACACAATTTTTCGCATCACAGAAGCTAACCCACTTCTATCAACTTCTTGCGGCATATCGAACTCAGTTCCAATTGCAGAGGATAGCACAAAGGGTTTTGCTTACCAAAAAATGCTGTCTAGACACCTAATAATAATGATATCACTGACAGTATTGACATAACAATGAAAGATGACCTATTAAAATTCTCACTCATCTATATAAGAATCAACTTACATTATTTATTGTGAGGCTACAACAATAACTCCCATTAGCTTTCCAAATATAGCTTGGACTGATGTGACTTCGGACGCCCTGAATGCTAGTTTACAAAAGTGTAGGTCAAGTTCCTTTCTATTTTAGTAGATTGTCAAGTGATTGCTGGACCGGGTTCACGAGGACACCAAAATAATGAGTTTTAATAGTTTATGAGAGTCTTAACTCCACCATTGTCATATGCTCGTCTTTATTTTTCCCTTTTTTTTGCCAAAAATATACTTTATTTTTAAGAGTTGAAAGTTCATCAGACCAACGCAATGTCGATCCCTTAAAGAAGAACCGGAGGTGGATAGACAACAGGATAGATGACTGTAGCTACAGGTTGGGCGGTTACAAATCCGAAGTTCAAGTAGGTGTTTATTAGTTTTTTAATTTCTATCTACTTTGCAAAGTGCTGTCAAGAATGAAAATAGATTAGGAGCACTAATGTGTCTCTTTCCCAGGGGAGTTCTGGTTTGCATATCTCTTTTGGAGCTACGATCAGCGTCATATGGGGCACAACAGGAAGCTTTCTAGGAAATTCAAGATGAATTTGACATGGGTTCTTCCACGTTTGTTTTTCTATCCTGTGAATTTTCCATTTGGGCATGGCCAAAACATTTCTTCATGGCCAGATGTTGTCAGCATTGGAGCCATCTTCGCCTTTGAATCCAGTATGCCAAGCTTGCCATAGAGGAAGCGGAAAAAGATGTCCAACTCAAATTCCCGAATCCTCAATGGGACCTTTGGGAGATGCAAAACTTACTTCTGAACAATGAATATGATGGGCAAGTCAAACCATTTGCCCATTTCAAAAAAATAAATAAATAAATAAATAAAAATGAAGACGAACGATTGCTCAGAGTCAACAGTTTTTTAATTCTTTTTTTTTTTTTTTTAATTCCAGGGCCCATCAAATAAGTCGTTCAATTTTGCACTGGCCTAGGATAATTTCAGGCATGAGAGCTAATTTTAAGCTCTATCTTTAACTGCTGAAACACGTCCCTAAACTAGATTCAACTATGCTATTTTCCAACTTAATCAATAACCCAACTGCTTGCTGAGCAAAGTAAAAACAGACGAAAGTACATTCTGCATAAACCAACAACTTTTAATAACTTCACTTCATAAACCAATAACAAGAACTCCAAGGTTTGGCATAAAGCTGTGCTACCTTCTCAATTTACCTTAGCAAAACTGAAACAGAAAGTAACATGATACTAACATAGAAATTCTCAGTCTAAATGCATTCAGAAAATTAAAGACAAAAGTTTTGGCAGCATCCAATAACCAAAAGCCGCAAAGCCAAGCTTTGAAGCAAAGAACACTGGAGTGCAGTTTTTTTTCAAGGACGAGCAGTGGCTGGAGCTCCTGCAGCACGTGGTCCCTGACCCGGTGCACCAGGCCTAGCCAAATCCTCCTGAAACACACAAGTACAGTGGTTAGCAACACATGAGCAACATAATTGTGGAGGGAGAAATACTATCAAAAAGAATCCAAGGAACAGGCAATCCACGCTACTAAAGTTTGCACTGAAAGATCAGCAAAAAGAACTTATAAAAAGGCTGCAGGCAATCAGATATCCTGCCATAAACGCTGTCCCAACTTTAGACATTTGATGGAATCCAAAAGATAGAAACCTCAACATAACTCTAGTTCAGTTTAGAATAAACTAACCATATTATCTGCATTTTCACAATGGAATTTACAAGCCAACTCGTTCTTTTTTTCCCCCCTTTTTTTGAGAACAAGCCGACTCGTTCTAAGTTATATTTGAAAAAGGTCAAAAAACAATTACTTTCATGATGTTCCTAAATAAGAGATAGTTGATTCTCTGCTAATGGAAGAGACGGTATCAAAGGTACAAAGACACTATTCCCATTATCAAAACATACATACAAAAACATAATTTACCACTTCTACAGGTAACACAACGCATTCACACACGACAAATTGCCTACTTAACACAAGTTCAGTACCTATCATATCTTACCCGTCAAGTCTATATGTAATAGGAACAAACAACAGAGGTCTACACCAATTCGATGTGTACCAAACTCAAAGAACATTATCAAAATTTGTAAGATACCACTTGCAAAACAAATTAAGAACGCACACTCATAATTAAGCGGCAAACTAACACCCAAAACCACATTGACAGAAAATAAAACAACCCAAAAAATCACATACCCGGCGTCTGAAGCGCTGAGGAGGCTCACGGATCCTCCTGTTCTCCCTAGAACGAACCCTCACAACATGGGAGTGGATAGCACAAGATACACAGTATTGCATCTTTGCGTACAGCTTAGGAAGGGTGTAGCCTGCATTTCAATAACACACCCATAAATAATTATACATAATAATGGATTGAAAAAACGAATACACATATGAGAAATTAAAGGCCTTTTTATGGAGAAATAAAAAATTACCATCATAGACACAAGCCTCCTGGACATCCCTAACAGCAGCTTGCTCAACAATGTTCCTCACCAAAAACCTTTTAATGGCCTTGTCCTTTAAGAATAAAACCAAAAAAAATGAATCAAAAGCACTAAATAACAGCAACCGATTTAATTGCATTCTAAAACAAGTAAAAATAATCAAAATTTTCGTGTTTCATTTCAACAAGAAAATCTGTTAAAATCTGTAATTCTAGTATAAAACGAATCCTAAATACATGTATCGGGCCAAGTTAATTCTAGACTTGTCCTATCTAAGTTTTCTTAATGTTACCCCCGTTTTCTAACAGTTTCTCGGCAACCAAACAACCAGAGTACAAGAACATCAACAACAAAGTAAGTACCTTTGGGCAGCATTTGCCACAGTTAGAGCAGCGAATGAACTTGACATGGCCACGGCCGTGCTTGTTCCTTCCTCCGTTCCTTCTCTTGAAAGTCTGCAAACAATTAGATGCAACTTTGTTCAGAAAGCGATTTGATCGAAATAAAACATGGAGTTTGCGAAGCGGATTAAACGAAGAAGAAATTGACCATGTTGATGAGCGATGTTAGGGCTTCTCAACCCTAATTCTTCAGATCTATCGCCTCGGCTGCCTTGCTTGCTAGGGTTTTTGTTGCAGGAACAGCTCGAAGGTAACAAGATATAGCCAAGGACAAATATTTATTTATATACTTTGGCCACTAGGGTTTTACTGGGTCTTGGGCTCATGTGGGTCGGGTTGCATTTTTCATTGGGCATTTATCCCTCTCAAATGGATTTCCCGTCTCAAACGTGTCCCAAGAAAATTGCATTCGGTAAATACATTTTTATTAGTGTAATTATTTAATTAAAAAATTTATAAATTAAAATTAAATAATAAAAATTATAATTCATATACTTTTAAAAAATATTTATCAAGATTATCTTTTCATATCCTAATTTTTTTTGCTTTAGATTTTGGGTGATTTACACATATAGCAAAATTTTGATATCAAAGTTTAAATTTAACAAAAATTTTAAAATATTACAAAAATAACAAAATTTTATATCCTTTTTATGTCATTAAAATAATGACTATATCATTATATAGTACAAAATATGATATTATTATGATAATTACAATGTCATTTTTAATATAATAATATTCTAAAAATTTTATTAAATTTCAACTAAAGTATGAAATTTTACGGTGTAGTATAATTATTACTTAAGACTTTTTTTTGGAGCTTTATACATGATTGTAAATATACCTTCTGTATGCAAAACAAACAGAACTTATGTACTTGAGCCCAAAAAAAAAAAAAAAAGAACTTAGATGTAGATTACGGTTTAAAACAAAACTCTATCACTTTACTTTTTGTCATACCTTACCATTATAATCTGATTATTCTAGTCTTTATTGTTTATTATCACTTTTTTTTTTGGACAAAAAAATAAAATAAAAATTTGCACCGTATGTTCTCATTCTCTTTTGAATTCTTCTCTAATTGCACTACCAGAGGAAACAAATAAAAAGAAATGCAATGTTTGAAAAGAAAAATTAGTAAAAATATTGCTTAAGGAAAAAATTGAAAATCTTGGAAAATACAAGTTTTCAATCGTACAAACAGAGAGAGAGAGAGAGAGGGTCATCACATTAGGTTAAAATCGTTTACCGTATTCAGTTTGTCAAATTAACTAATAAAAGAACAATATTTTACTTTCAAAACTGTAGTTGTTTACATTTTGTCGAATTAACTAATAAAAGAACAATGTTTTTCTTTCAATACTGTCGTTGTTTACATTATCAAACGACATGACCTATTCAGTTCAGTTTGTTACATTTAAATGATATATAACGAAAATACACGTCCTATTTAGTTCACTTAAAAAAATGATATTTTATGCTCCGTTTATTTCACTGATTTTAGTTTAAAATTTGAATTTTGTTACGGTAAAAAACTCTCAGAAATAATCACATTTAACTTTTTTACTACAATAATAAACTCTCACGTAAAATCACAACTCAAATCGAATTAAAAACTCAAATCAGCGAACTAAACATGCCTTTAATTTCTGCTTTCTTGTCATCTAGGTTAGAAGATATGACGCATCCCCTACCAAAACATTGTCATTTGTCAATAAACCACATGACGCTTTTGTTACAAAGGTTCATTGTCGTTTATTGGTTAAACGGCAAACCGCATGAGTCTAAAGTTTGTTGTCCCTGATAAAAATAATCAAATTTTTCTGCAAACCAAGAGCAGCAAAGCCATGGTTACAACGTTTAGAGGGTGTTTAGTATGAGAATTCGTGTCATGATTCGAATCATGGTCCGTGACTCGTTATAATATTTTCTCTCATAAAAAACACACGTAAACCGAAAATGATTCTGAATCATGACTTTGAATAATATTTCTAAGACTGAATCAAAGGGGTAATATTCTGCCGAAATTACAGATATACCCTTGCCTTTTATTTCTAGTTGAACTTGTACCCACGGCCAAAGCTCAAATGATTAACAGTCGAGATCCACAAAATTGAGCTTCGTGATCGAGTATTGACTATTGAGTATTGACTATCTCAACTTACAAGTCTTATTTGAAACTCAAAGGGTTTACATAAAAGAGGGAAGACAATCCAAAAGATCAGCCCCAAAGAAGCTAAAACACAAGAACAACAAACATACAGCAGATTTCGTAGCTTGGACTTCCATGTACACGGATGATTTATTATTTCTGTACAGACATAAGAAACTCCTACATTTAGGAACTGAACCCACTCAGCGAGTGATCATGTTATTCGCCTGTCGCCTCAAGGAGACTCTTTCTCGAACACTTCACTCACATATTTCCAGTTAATAACCTTCCATATGTTCTTCAGATAATCGGGTTTAACATTTTTGTACTGCATTGTGATAACATTCTAATTGTGAAAACATAATTCATCCAGAAAATGAAGGGTGGTCGCTAAAGATTAAATCACAGTATAGAAACATTAAACGAAGAAATTAATAGAGGGCAAAATCACTATGCAGGTTGCATTCCAAGTCTATGTGCAACCAATTGTTCTAAAATTTCAATCATCATTTTCCCCAAAACAGTTTCCCAAAATAATTATGATAAAAGCTATGCAAACATTTATGAACCTAGCAGAACACCTTATCTGTTTCATGCTTTCTTTTTTTATTTTTATTTTTATTTTTTTTAAAGAATTCCAAAATCCCATGTCACAGAGAATACAGTATCCAATAAATTTACCTGTAAGTAGTACGCATGCTCCCAAACATCAATTCCCAGCAGAGGAACTAAAGTTGCCGCCTTTGTCACAAGCGGATCCTATGAAATGTTTTTGTCAGCCAACATAATATGCAGCAGCCTGATGTAAATATTTGCAAAATATATTTACAAATGAAGGAAAACATTTCAAAAAACCAGACTTATAGCATTAAGCAATGTCCCTAATCACAGATCGTGCATTCATGACAAAGGCACCAGGACAATTTTACCATCTTTGCAGAAGCTGAAGCAGCTCAATAGTTAGCAATATTCAGTTCACTTACATCAACATAACAGGCTTGCAACCAATTTGATTAACCAAGTAAGCAAATTCAACCTTCTGCCTTAGCAATAAAATGCACCTTTTCTACATTGTCGTGAGTTGTATACTACGCAATACCTGAGATATTCTTGGGAAAAAAAAAATCTAATCCGCTTACTAATAAAACCACAACAAAGTTTCCGGGGAAAAAAATCCAAAGGAACAAAGAAAAATAAACAGATAAAGCTTCAGACTTACAAAGTGGAAACAAACACATGAACAGTACCTGATTAGCTGTGGTCTCAATAGAAAGTTTCTTAAATTCTTTGTCAAGAGCAAGCCACTACAAACATTTCAAATAAGAACAAAACCTTAGCAGACGTGCATTTAGTCAACAAAAACAGATGAAACAAAAAATGAAGTGTAAAAAAAAGAAGCGACAGAGAATATACCACCCATCCAGAGCCTTGCAGTGCAGCACCTTCTGTGTTGATTTTCAGAATCAGAGACTCCAGTGACCCAAACTGCGTATCAATGGCCCATCCCAGCGAGCCCTTTGGAGGCTCACCGCCCCCTTCCTGCCATATACATAGCATTTCACAAAACCTTCAATTCAAATGAGACAAAAACAAAATATTTTAGACTTCATTACCAAAACTATCAAATTTCGACCACTTGAGCGTTTCATTCGAATTTACCCATGTTCCGCGTAGAGTTTTCTTGTGCTTTGGGACCATTTGTATCGGTTTCGGTATTTGTATTTCTCTTACATGTAACAAAATTTACTCTTTTCAAAAATTAAAACTTAAGCATATATATATATATATATATATATATATATAACAAAATTGGGACTAAAATTTTGAGGAAATGGGCTTACGTTAACAGGAGCGAGATTCTTCCAGAAAATGGAGTGGTTTAAATGACCTTCAACAAGGAAGAAGCAAAATTCAGTTAACAGCGAAAAGGAATCTCGAAATCCAAGAACTTCTCATGCATGACAAGAAAACACAAACGCGAGGTTGAAATTCTGGAGAAAGAAGCAACGAGAGAGAGAAAAGAGCGAACCTCCGCCGTTGAATTTGACGGAGCTCTGCAATTTGACGGTGGTGGAAACGTCCCCCTTGTCGATGGCGTGGTCGAGCTGCTCTAGGGATTTGTTGTAGTTTGTTACGTAGGTCTGGTGGTGCTTCTGGTGGTGGAGAAGCATGATCTCCGCGCTTATGACGGGCTCAAGAGCGCCATAGTCGTACGGAAGGTCCGGCAGCGTGAAGGTCTTCAGGCCACGCACGAGCCCTAACCCTAATCGTCCTCCATTTCCGCCGAGATCAAGCAGAGCTTTTCTTCTCAGGCTTCCAAGTGCCATCTTCAGTCCTCTCTCTCTCTCTCTCTCTCTCTGGGCAACGCCACATACACTCTCACTGTCGCTGAATGACCGTTTTATAAGTGAAGAGTCAAAAGTTGTACGAATTTGCAATCGAGCCCCTCAGCTTCTCGTAATAATGTATATCCCCCTCTCTCTCTCTCTCTTTCCTTTTCTTTTCCTCACGAGAAATGTAAAAACTTCAGTCTTCAGTTACATTTTTTTTTCCCTTGAAAAAATAGTTTTTTTTTTTTTTTTTTTAAATATTTTTTTGTGGTAGGATGGAAATTTTTTCATGCAAGAGGCGAATCACCTTCTTTTAAAAAATAACTCAAAAAGACAAACAATCAAATTAAACTACACTATAAATAAACTAAGCATAAATAACTAAACAATAGATTACAGAATTACAGCAAAAGTAACCTTTTTAATGCTACCGATAACATAAGCTTTAGGTGCTCTTTGATTCGAACATCAAATGGCTTGAATGACATTGAGAACATCGACTCAAGGATCTACTCTTGAAAAACCACCTCTGGAGAATAATCAAGCTTATAAACAGTTGTTTCTAACACAAGCAAGTCTGACGGATATTGTGCAAAATACTAATGATGGTGACGATAATTATGATGTTGATGGTGATGAAAATCTTACAGCCCAAAACTGAAACTATTATTTTTTAAGTAAATATGTAGATTTTTTTCATAGCCAAATACTGTGTTCAAACTTGCAATATACTCCAGTTGACCTGCTCCACACTTGGCAGCGTCCCTTTAGTTGGTGCTTCTTTGGTGAAGTCCATATGGATGACTATTATACATACACATATATTACCATAAATATTTTGGCATATAGTCCATAGTGCTCACATTACACGCGTATTGAACTAGCGTGACATCGGCAGTAAATTTAAGATTATGAGAAAATGAGACAAATATTTCTTAAAATATATAGGTCAAAATTTTTACGCATTACTTTTAATTAATATTCTTTTTAGTTAAATAAGTATTATATTAATTAAAATGATATTAATTAAAAATAAAAGATATAAATCTATATTTATACACCCTGAATGTAAGCTCAAGATTTTTTTAATAACTTAATTCTTTTGGATGCGCCACATTAAGACAACTGCAACAGTTAATGTGGGCCCGAGAACAATTTTCACAGGCCACCACATACAAAAATCCTATCATCAAATTTGGCCACTAATCTGTCGCTCACTCCTTCCCAGTAAAAGGGAGCGAGGAATATAAAGATAAATCTAGAAATTGAATATCAAGGACAATTCACTGGCTAAAAGAAAAAAAATGATAAGGAGTTAAGGACAGTAACAACTGATTAGAATAAACAATAATAATGAATGTTCTTTTAGTATAGGTGACAACAGTATACATTTGCCATACCAAATTCTGGTATCTCATTTCCATGCCTGATTGATTCGTACAAAAATAATAATCAAAACTTCTATGTGAAAGGGAAAATCTTCAACTCTCAAAACTACTTCTACAGCACAAGATGAGACCGTGAGTTCGACACTGATGTTGAAATGCTGTCAGAAAACCCTTGCCAGCAACATCTTCATTGCCGGAGCCGCTAGATTTCACCTTAGGGCAAATGAATTATAAAAGCATTGTAAACATTTTATGCATGAAGGTCCTTGTTTGAATTCCACACAGGAGCCTTTGCAGCACCATCTCCTAGCATCCCACTTCCATTTTCCACGGTAAGCAAAGGATCTGATTCAGCTTCTTTTGCCTGCAACCATTTTCGGGAGTTAAAACAGAATTATAAGATTATTATAGAAGCAGAATATGTAAATCAACATCAGAACGAGAGGATAGGAAACAATATCAGAGATTGGTTTGACAATCATTTGCATCAAATGCATGAATGAGAAGGGAAAGAGAATTCCAATTACCTGGGATATTTGTGCAGATGCTTCACTGGCTTTCTGTTGGTTCTCAAGAGTGCAGTAATAAGAATAGAGTACCATTCCAATTACAGCAACTAAGATTCCAAGGATGTTGCGCCAGCTAAATGGGTCACGAAGCAGAACATAGCCAAATGTCAAAACTAGGCATGTTTTCAGATGTCCGAGGACCTGATAGGTAACAGGAGATGTCTTTCCAATAACCAAAAACGTGCTGAAGTTTACAGAGACTGATATCAGGCAGGACAAAACAATGAAGAACTGCAACACAAGATAAGAATAAATCTCAGAAACTAGAGAAATCAGAGACATGGAAGTAGGAAGAGGGAGTTTAGAAAGATTAGCTTTCAGTTTTTAGACGCTCACCAGCACTTGAGGGGTATAATTGAAAGCAAATACATTTTGATTAGTCAAAAGCCCATCCAGAAATGGACCGATGACAAACAGAGTTAATGCTTGATAGGGGCAAGACTGATACAGAAGTTGAGTTGAAGAAACTTTGAACTTCTTCTGAATGGTGTTGGTCATCTGAAATAACTGGTTAAGGACTAGAAAGAACATATAAAATAAAAAACAATCTTTAATCAGAATAGAAAAACCATGAGATACAGCTTAGGATACAATCTGAGCAACACAGGTTGTAAGAACTGCAAGCAGGGACAAGAAGGAACCCAAGGCATTGAGTTGAAGATCAGTCACTGTTGCAATCCCGACTCCCAAAAGTAAGATTGTAAGTGAAAACTGGATGCTTCGACTGTTAGAGGAAAGAAGTATCAATAAAAGGTCCATATTAATAATTGAGTTCAAATACTATGAATCAATAACCAACGCAAACCCTGTAGTAACCTCTGCAAGAAAACATAATGTGCATGACATAGAATTTAACACTACAGAGTTGGAATAAGTGACATAGAAATTATGTCGTTGGATGTTTCATGTAGCCAGAATTGAATATAAAGAGAGAGAGAGAGAGAGAGAGAGAGAGAGAGAACTAGAGAGGGATACAGCACAAATAAGGAAGGGGTGGATAACTAAAACATGCGCAAGAAACCATACAAAAAGATAGTTAAGATCAACACCGGCGACAAATATTATGCCATAAAGCTCATGAAAATCTCATAATCAATAATGCATGAGTGACGTGCAAATTTTTATTCTGCTTGACAAAAATTTGGACTCTACAGAACCTAAGAAAGTATCATCAAGTTAAAAGAACAATGCCACATTTCTCCATATAGCATTATGCATTATCCAAAAGCACATTGCTAGTATTGTGAGCAACTAGATCACACTCCTGATGCTAAGGGAAAGTTTACATATTGCTCTACTTGTATCAATATTGGAACTGGTCATACAACCAAAGGAGGATGAACACAAAAGACGTATCTCACCAGGTGTTGAAATGTAATCTCACTCACCTGAACTGCTTCCTAAAGAATAGTGTCTCCAAAAGAACAGTACAAGGGATAATTGCCAGTTTTGTCATCTGAAACGCAAAAGACAGAGCTATGGTTTAGCTTAGCATGAAATAAAGGTTGTCTTCAAGGAATGTAAAAAGAAATCTGAAGGAAACACATAGAGATATGTATTCTGAAGGATGGTCAGTACGTAGAATGCAAAGAGATATGTATTCTGAAGGATGGTAAGCTACAGCTATAGTCCAGCATATCGTAATAGACAGTAAAACCAAACTAGTAACCATTCAATGCTAGTTCTGATTTGGGAGAAAAAGAACAGAAAATAGAAATCCAGAATTTGAGTTGCAAAATGATGAGAAATGAATAAATAAAACAAAATTACCTGATAGAAACCAACAGAATTAAAACCCAAGCTAAGATTCAGAAGTCCAATGGAGATTCCATTCAGTATACCAAATCCCATGACAGCTCTTGCATCAAAAGGCTTGTGTTCAAACAGTTTCATCCATAATGCAACGTGAAGAGAACAAAATGTGACCAGAAGATGCCAGCTTGTCAGAGTTGTGGCTGTGCATTCCATATTCTGAGTTAGTATAGTAATTGAAGTCAAGGAAAGTAAATCCTATACGGCAATGAGCCAGTGACTATAACAAAATTGTCAGTAACGGTGTAATATTGACTCAAAGGGACCATAACCATAAAAAAAATACGCGTCAAAACTATCTGTATCTTGCCTGATTAAATGAGCGATGTTATGTGGGAGTTTACACCCACCTACAAGCAGTAAAAATAATAAGCTGTGTCTAAAGATTTTGGAGAAGAAATAAATCACAGAAATGCAAATTTTTGTTTCCCAATATGATTTGTAAAACTAACATATTACAAACATCACTAATAGTATATCGTTAAAGATGTAAGGGTATAGTAACACCCATCTCATAGAACTTCAAAATTGGTAGGTGATTTGCCTGAGCGCTGAGAAGGTATTGAATCTTTTTACAATTCCCAAATAAGAATATATGGTTATCAAGCCCATTCATTATTGTTGACTTTGAACTCCTCTATCACCAACCTCAATTCAACATGTTTTTTTACATGGACCAACATGACTATTATCAAATTATACTTCTTTATCCAAACAATCAACATCTATGCGAAGCAAATCACACTTAGCATCGTTCATACGTCAAAAATGGAACTTTTCAAGTGCAGTTGAGAGAAATTCACATTCCATAAAGATTCAAAAACCCATTTGAAATAACTTTGCAATTAGCACATTACCAATCCTGAACAGCAATAATATTGACCCCAAAAACATCAAATTTAAAATACTTTTAAATTGAAATAATATCTCTCGTCACTCACCAAAAGTGAAGCCAAGAGTGCTAATGAGGGCCTTGTTGCAAATGACAATGGACACAGACGACACCACCGACAAGCCCAAAGCTCCAATAGTCCCCAGCTGGAACCTCTGGCTCTCACCCATTTCCACTCTCGATCTAATTATCCCCTTACCAAACTAAAACTCGTCTTATCTGGATCAACCAATCACCACAAAATCAACAAAAATAAAAAATAAAAAATTCTCCACCAATTTAATTCCCAGACGAAAATCGCCAATCAACTACAATGATTATACCTCATTAAGCCAAAAAATCTAGTCCAGAATTCTGAAAACGCCAAAAAATCTCCCACCAAACAGCTTAACTGCAAAGACAGAACAATTCAGAAATAAAACTCTCGCGATCAATTCGTAAAACCCTAGATCTGCTGAGAAAAGAGAGAAAAAAGAGACTCACGGAGAATGTTATGCTGAGAAAGAGAGAGAAAGAGAGAAAGGACAAATCAAATCGTCGAGCAGTGAAGGATGATCGTGATAAGATCGAGAGAAACGCAAAATGTCGAATCGAAATTAATAAAGAAGCCCTGGCATTGAAATTGTTGTGTGATGGTGATGAGAAGGACTAGCAATGTTTCTTCAATGTTTATTTAAAGTTGGGAAGAATTGAATGGGAAAATGAAAAATTTTTAAATCTATAAAAAATAATAAAAAAAAGAGTGGAAAAAAGTGGAAAATAGAAAATAAATGTTTTTGGAATATCTTGACTTTCATGTCTGCTTCTCAGATTCAGAGGACCCTCATTAAAGCCGCGGGATGTATATGTCACTTTTTTATTAGTTTATGTTTTTTTAAATTTCTTTTTATTTTTTAAGTCTTTTTTGAGTATGAAAATAGGAAAATGTTTGTTGTGTTTGGAATTGTTCTTATTTTTATTTTTTATATTTTTTAAAAAAAGAAAATAAAAATAATTTTAAAATGGTGTTTGATATAATTAAAGATAAAAAATAAAAATAAAAATAATTTTTTAATTTAGTATAAAATGATAGAGAAATAAAAAATAAATTTTTAGTCGTTTTTAATTTTTATTTTCGTTTTCTTTTCTTCTATCTCGAGCAGAGAGAGACATTAATGAGTTTTTTATACTGAAAATAATCTCTTGATAAAACTACCAAATGCATTTTCAAAAATAATTTATGTCTGAGATTAAAAACGTTTTCATTTTCATTTTCATACAAAAAATAAAGGGTGCATTTGCAACTCGTTCTAAAATCTCGTTTGGTAACGTTTTCAAAATGATTTAATTTTCAATACAAAAGTAAAAATGAGATTGTTTTGAGAATCATTTTAGGATTGATTCTAAAATTGCGTTTACTTAATTTTTTAAGAGAATGTTTTGAGTATAATAAAAAAGTATAATCGTATTTGGTTATAATTTTTAATTAATATATTATACCTTTGTTAATAAGTACTAAGAAATGAAAACAGAAAAGGAAAAATAATTTTCAACCGTTTTCTAATTCCTTCATAAAAATCATTCTTACTGTTTTTTGTTTTCGTTTTCAAAATATTTGCTAAACAAACACAGTTTGAAGACCGTTTTCATTTTTGTACCTCAAAAGATGTGCAAAAACATTTTCAAAAACAAGCAAAAATCAATTCCAAACGCACCCAAAATGTTTTCAATCTCAGACAGAAATTATTTTTTAAAATGTGTTTGGTAGTTTTATCAAGAGATTATTTTCAGTATAAAAAACACATTAATGTCTCTCTCTCTCTTTGCTCGAGAGAGGAGAAAACGAAAATAAAAAATGAAAAATGACTAAAATCAAAAAATCATTTTTTATTTATCTCTCATTTTATACTAAACTAAAAAATCGTTTTTATTTCCGTTTTTGGTCTCTAATTGTGTCAAACATCGTTTTAAAATTATTTTCATTTTTTCTTTCTCAAAAAACATGAAAAACAAAAACAAGAACAATTCCAAACATGACATAAATCATTTTGAAACAAATTCTAAACGCATCCGTTATATTTTGTTGAGATAACCATATTAATATACTTTTTTTGTTTGCAATGACTTGTTTTTTTAATTTATTTATTTGCACAAGATTAATAGGTCATAAGAAAGAGAGAGTTAGTGAGTGAGAGTGAGAGAGTTTCACAAGAGTTTAGATTTTGGGGTTGGCGGTATGGCTTTTTACTTGACTACTGGCCTCCAAGTCTTGATAGAAAAATCACAGTAGTCACTGGAGACAGGTTCGTACCGACAAAAGTGTAGATAGCCATCGAAATGGAGCCATTTAAGGAGAAAAGGCCGCTGATATTTTGTCATAGACCTAGGAACGTTCGTCGCAGAATCTCGTTAAAACTCCGAGAACTAGATCACAGGAAAGAGGCGAAGAAGGTGCTCCGACGCGTGCATCAATCGCCGCCGGTCGACGAAGGAGCATGTGCCCCATGCGCCGCCGAGTTTCAAGTGCTTTCGTTGCCGTTTTGGGAGGCTTTTTCCGACCATGTTTCAACTGTTATTCTCATATTGTTAGCTTTAAGAGATAAAGCCGACTTATTCTTAAAGAATAATCAAGTTTAATCAGTGATAAACTATAATCAATCATGATTGATCACTAAATTAATCAGTATTGACCGTTAAATTAATCAATGATTAACTACTTAACTTAATAAAAAAAGTAATTTTTGCAATTTTATAAAATTTCGACTATTTATTAAAAAACATCTTTCAAAAAAGACCATTTGTAAAAAACATCTTTCAAAAAAGACCATTTGTGATGAAATCCAAAGAAAACCCTCCCTCCTCAGTCCTCACCTCACCCTGCCCGTCACGGCCGCCCCCGCCCCAGCTCTCCCGCATGGCCGCACCTCTCCCCACTCCTCATCTCCACTCACACCCTTACCGAACCCCGAAACCCATCATCACTCAAGCTCAGAACCCAAAAAAAAAAAAGCGACAAACTCAAGTGAGAATTTGAGGATCCATCAATCGGTGGACTTGCAATGGTGTGGGTCCTATACTACTTTTTACTTTTTTTTTCTTTTTCTTTTTGATATTTGCTATTTGTTTATTTAGGCCTCGTTCGTTTCGCTGATTTAAGTTTAGAATTCGAGTTGAGATGTGATTGTATGTGAGAGCTTTTTACTGTAGCAAAAAAGTTAAATGTGATTGTTTGTGAGAGCTTTTTACTGTAGCAAAACTCGAATTCTAAACTCGAATCAGCGAAACGAACGAGGCCTTAGATAACGAGTTTTACAGAAGTTTGGATCTCAGTGGAGGGTGAACTACAAGTGTTCGACGAAATGCAGCTATGGAATCACTCTTTTGTTCCCTGTCTCGTCGCCAGAGCCAAGGAGAAGGCTTCACTCTTTTGAAATTTAGAGGGTAACGTGTTATAAAAATCTTACTTCAGGAGAATTTTTGAAATTAATCCCAAGAAGAATGATACGGTGAAAGAGCTCAAGGGGCTCTGAATAACCTCATTCGACTTTGTTGATGATGAGAGTGTTCGCTCAATTGATGATATGAATAAAAGAGTTTTGAAATTTTTTTTTTTTATCTCTTTAAGAGTATGTGTGTCAATTTGGGGTCTCAACTAACTATTAATTTAAGATAGGGTACACATTATATTAAATCTAATGTTAAGGATATATTTGATAAAATTAAAAACTGAAGATATACTTTTTTAGTGAGAGATTTTCTTAGGTACGTCAATATACCGGTACGTCATGTTTTATATGCGTTAAATTTGTATAAAATCACGTAAAAATAAAAAAGTATACAGATTTAACTGTTAAAAAAATCTAACTTATCAATATGCCAAACGTATCAAAAAATTTCTCTTTTAATAAACTTAAAATACATGTTATAATAATGTAAACATCCCTAAAAATAATAATGATTTTTTGCTCAAACCTTTACATGCAGGTGAAAATACTATAAAACATAGAAGTATATGAAAAGAATTCAATTTTGAATAGTGGATTTGTATTAAGCTCTGTCTTTTTTATTTACATTGTATTTTGCTAAGATTTTGATATGCTTGGAATGATACAGTATAAAATCCTATTGTGTTATTTTATTTTATTTTATTTTTTGCTGAAAAGATATTTATAGTTCTCTTTTTGTAGCTTTTTTTTTTTCTATGGAAAAAGGTTTTGTGAGTATATTTGCACAGTTGCATTCTTACCAAATTAAAAGCTTAACTTGGCTTTCAAGTGATTTTCCTACAAAATTTTGGGTTTGTTCATTTGCATTTAAACTTAAAAAAAAAGATTTAAACTCAAGTTATAACTTTATTCAAGTTTATGTTCTTTTGTAAAATTTGAGTTTGAATTTGAATTTTAACTTGAGTTTGAGACTAAAATCTGAGTTCAAGTTCTCCCTTTAACTTAAGTTATTAAATTCAAACTCAAGTTAATGAACAATATTTTTTCTATTCTTAATAACGCCATAACTTTTTCGTTTTAATTCCGATTGAGATGATTTTTTTTCTATGCGTTCACAATGAAGAGACGAATAAAACCCCACCCATATACCCTATTAAAATTTTTCATAACTATTGAGTTTTTATTAAAATACTATCCAAATACAAATTCAAGTTTTGATCAATCCAAACACAAATTCAAGTTTTGACCCATCCAAACACAAATTCAAATAGATTCTCAATTCAAACCATAACTCAAAATGTGCACATCCAAATACAAACTCAAATTAAAGTCTCAACTCAAATCATACTTAAATACACCTTAACTCAAATCAAGATATGAACTCAAGTCACCGTAACTTAAAAAACGCAAATGAAGAAGCCCTTTGTTGCTCGCCAAGGTTTTTTCTACATTCTATTCCTGCTACGGTTGTTGCCATTTATCAGCTTTTCTTTTTCTCCATTTTTGGCTCTTAAACTAATAAGAAAGTGGGTTGGACATAAATCTTAGAAATAAATCTGATAGAATATAGTTTGGAGCATTTGATGTCAGTAGGATATCAATTGATTTCAGTAACAGTTTTTTTTTATTATTATTTTTTTTGTAAATAAGAAACTTCATTACCAAACGCCAACAAACGAGACAAAAGCGAGCTAGTGCACAACTAGGAGAAACTAGGCCAGAACCCACTCAGAAACATCCAAGAACAGACTCTCAGGTAACAAAGATAACTCAACATAACCAAAATGACAATTCTTAAGGCACCACTTAGCTACATTATGCGCTACAAAGTTGACAGACGTAGGAATCCAGTTGATGATAAGGTCATGAAGCAAGGCCAGTTGCCCAGGCATAGATTCCCAAATAAAACTAGCCCTCCAGTTTGAAGAAGGGTTTGTCGCCGTTTCAACCACAAATGGCGAGACCCCCTTCTCAACAGCAGTGCGGACAGCTTCCCTTAGGGCAAGGAACTCCAAAGTTTCAGCATCAGACGGTGGAAAATGAGCACTCCAAATCCAGGATACTATTTCATTCACGTTCCGGGCCATTACTGCCACCACACCATTTCTTTCGTCCATCGTAGCATCAATATTCAGTTTGATCCATCCTTGAGGGGGGGCTCCAAGAGACTGGTTTCTGAGGATGATCATAGATAAGGATAGCATGGTATTAATCAGTTTGATAAAGAATTAATCTATATTAATTAAAAGGGTATTAATAAAAAATTTAAAACAAAAGTGAATTCACTAATTTTCTCAAAAGTTTGTGATATTGCTCGGTGCTCATTTGATTGGAGGTTTCTCATAGGTTTGAACCCAAAAAGCAATTTAAACCCTTATTTGGTTGCATAATGTAATGGTTATCCCTGCCTCCCTTCCCGGGGTTTAATCCAAAATACTATTCACAAAACTAACTTAAAAGGTTACCACCAATTATTTTTACTAACATTTTAAAAACTCTTTCTAGTAATATAATCAAATGCGGGTTTAGATTTTATTTTTTATTTAGACCTTATACCATCAAATATCAGCTAAACCACAAAAAATGTACTTAAAGATTCAAATCTAAATATATAAACTCACACAATTTAAATTTACGAACTGAGAGAGAGAGAGAGAGAGAGAGAGAGAGAGAGAGAGAGAGAGAGAGAGAGAGAATTTGCAACGATCCTGAAGCCATGAGCTTAATTCCTCTAGAGGTTATTTATTTATTTATTTTTTTTTTATATTTTTTATCCTGAGATAAAAGAACTTTAAATTATCTAAACCTGCTATTACATTGAAATAGTTTTCTGTAGAATAAACGTTTTACTCTATTGTACTTTGCCAACGGTAATAGGTTTCAAATTGTTGCCGACATGGTAACTGAAAAAACTGTATTCACCTTATAAAATAAAAAAGGAAAAGAAAAAAAAAGACTAGGTTAACAATAGAAGCCCATTGTTGTCCCTATACTCCAGTTGTTTGGGTCATAAAGCCCAACAAGACGAGTGACTACAGCCCAAACCAGTTGGTTGACTCTTGACACGCGACATGAATTTTTTTTTCTCTACCTAAAAAACAATACAAAACTGTAATCACATAAAGCCTTTGTTTGGAAGTTTGGAACACGCCTTTTTCTGCCGAAATTTTTAACATTTTAAAATAATTTTATTTTTTAATATGAAAATAAAAATAAAAATATTTTTAATCTCAGACAGAAATTATTTTTAAAAATGTATTTGATAGTTTTATTAAGAGATTATTTTCAATGTAAAAAAACTCATTAATGTCTCTTTTTCTCTCTCTGCTCGAGAGAGAAAAAAACATAAATAAAAAATAAAAAACGATTAAAAGTCATTTTTTATTTCTCTATCATTTTACATTAAATTAAAAAAATTATTTTTATTTTTATTTTTTATTTTTATTACGCCAAATGTCATTTTAAAAATATTTTTTATTTTTTTCTTAAAAAACGTAAAAAATAAAAACATGTGAATTTCAAACACCACCTTTATATCTTTCAGGGACTTTGAAATTTCAGTCCAAGGTAGCCCCAGAAATTGGATAAAGTTTGCAACAAAATAATGTGAATACCGAATGGAATTGAAAACAATTTATCTTGCATCATTTTAAACGTTTAAAGAAGAGGAATTTTAAATAAAATAACTATGGACTGTTTTTTATAGGTCGTTCTATTATTATGATCCATTTATTATTCGTTAGATCTAATTAAAATTAAATAAAATTAAATAAATATATAACACATATAATTTTTAGTATAAATCTAACAGTTAAAAAAATATAACTATCAATAGTTTTATTTTTTCAATCCCAGAAAAAACTCCCAACTCTTCCAAATCAACATTAGCAAATGTTTTGAAATTCCCTCCCTCTCACCTTGGTTACTCGGATAGGACCAACCAAAAAAAAAAGAAAAAGAAGAAAATAAAGACAACTGTTTTTTTATTAATAATTTGCACAAATAATTTTTAAGTAACAGTTTAATCTTTAATTTTTTTTTTTAGTAAAAAAATTTTTAATTTTTTTAAAAAGTGACAATTTAATTATTTTTATTAAATTTTTAATAAAATTAATTATGTATAAAAAGTGATCTCGTTAATTAAAAGGATATTTTGATAAAATACGAATACAAGCTCTCTTTTTGTCTCTTTCTCTCTCTCATCTCTCACGCTCTCTCTTCTCTCTCTCATCTTTCTCTCTCTCTAGACACTGCAAAACCATCTCTCTTTCTCCCTCTTCGCACTATAAAGCAAAGAGATTCTTCCACGGCGAAGAGGAAGCGAGAGAAGGACGAGAACCAATCAGAAGACAGAAAAGAAAAGAAGAAGAAGTAGAAGAAGAAGTAGAAGAAGAAGAAAAGAATGGCAGAGGGATGATCATATGCACCTGGAGAAGTTCAACCATAACTGCTCCTGGGATCTTTAAGTTCTTCCAAGTTAAATAGAATCTGCTCTCAGAATTTGGATTTCTTTCTTGTGTTGGATTTGGAGGTCAAGGTTGAAATTCTTGAGTTCTCAGTGTTGACTTTTTCTCTTGAGTTGCCAGATTGAAATTAGTGGCGGAACTGGTGAGGAGGGAGTGTTTGGTTGTCGGCGGCTCGGCGGCTGTGTTTGGAGATTAATGGAGATGATCATGATGTTGAGGAGAAAGAGATAATTTTTTTTGGGGTATTTAAGTCATTTTATTAAAAATGATGTCACATCATGAGTCACGTCATGTTTTATTAAAAATTTAATAAAATTTAACAAAAAAAAAACTAAACTATCACTATTTAAAGAGATTATGGGCCCGTTTAATTCGCTGATTCGAGTTTTTAATTCGAATTGAGATGTGACTTTATGTGAGAATTTTTTACTGTAACAAAAAAATTAGATGTGATTATTTGTAAGAACTTTTTACTGTAACAAAACTCGAATTCTAAACTCAAATCAACGAAATAAACGGGGCCTGAGTCGTTTTACTTATAGGATGTTGCAATATTTAAGAAGTATTTCTTTCACATGCTCTCAATTGGGATCAAGGTTCACTTTAAGATTCATGCTTGATAAATAAACTATGGGGGATTTGTTTTCTGGCGGTGTGAGTGAAACCAAGTCAATCCTTTGAGTAGAATTGAACCGTGTTTTTCTGTTTTATAGGTAAATCACTGATTTTTTATTATAAACGAAGAGAACGAGAAATGTAATAGCTCTAATGATCCACCTTTTTATTGAGAAAAAAAAGAAGACATCAATTTCTCAATTTTTAAAAACTATTTAGAAGGAGAAAGAGGCAGTGCTACAACTTCCCCCCCCCCCCCCCCCCAAAGGCCTTTTTTTTTTTTTTTTTTTTTTTTTTTTTTTTTTTCATTATCTCTCGTGCCAAATTTAGTTATGAAATTGGTCCCCAACGGCCACCTTGGAGATTCTATAGATCGCAAAGTTTCCGCTTTAGAAAAGTTAAGGGATTTCTACCTTCATGCCAATGTCATACTCATTGCTCGTTTTCTACAGTTCTGACATCCATAAAAATGTGTTGTTCTTATAAATATTATAATCAAGGTTACAACTTACAACCGAGAAATGAGATAATTCCCTACAATAGGAAAATTAAAACATTTCTCAGAACTCTTTAAATTGTGAAAAGGCCTAGCGGGTGCTATTTAGTCACCACAGCTTTCCTAGGGCGAGGACTTACTCTGCCTTCTCAAACTTGGGAAAGAAGCAGAATATAGACTTATAGATATAATGATATACAATATTTCTTCTTTTTTGAAATTATAACTAAACTTACTTAATCCGATTAGAATTTAGAATTGAGACCCTTCGAATGTCTGACCGAACTGCCAACCGGCGGGCGCCACGTTGAAGCTTGTCACCGTCCTTCCGTCACTGGCAGTGACTTGGAAGGAAAGGCTCTGGCCATTGAGGTATGAGTTGCTTTGCCAGTTCTGGCCCCAGTTTCTTGACATGGCTTGCCAACCTGTTTTGGAGCCCTTGATGGAGACTGCATGGACGTCCCCTGCACTGCCGACGTTGGTGATCAAAACCAGGTTGAAGTAAGAGTGGCCGTTGATGGTGAATCTTATTCCTCCTTTCTTCACACATGGGACCCTGCCATGACCAACACCAAAGTATCACATCAGTAAAAAAAAAAGGACGAGTGAAAACATAACAATAATTATTGATTCTAATTTGTCATACTTGTCACATGTGCGGTGCCATATTAAAGAGCATTTTTTAAGACAAGAACTATTTGCCCAAATTTCCACTTTTGGAAAAAAATTTTGATATTTCCCTCAAAAACAGATATATTTTTTTTGTGAATATTGAGTTAGCAATGATACTAATATAAAAATATTCGAAATAATAATTACTTTCATATTACCTATAAAGGGAATAACTATAAGCGCAATAACTTTAACTAGGGGTGAACCTATTATATTTTACACAAATAAAAATACCTAAAATTATTTTCTCTTATTACCTTCTGAAGACGACGGGCACGATTCCAGCGCGGTACTGTGCAATTTGCAGGAAAGCGGGTTCCGCCAAGTCGAAGTGTTGGAGGGGAGGATTGCACCACCCACCGTTGTTGTTGGACAAGGCGAAGTTAGGCGGACAAAAGTTTGTAGCGGTGACGGTGATGGTGCCGGGGAGGCACCATCTGGGGTCATTGTTGCACCTCATTTGGTAGCAAGCACCACATGTCAAGCCATTGTTGAATAGGGCCGTGCTCAAAGCTGCAGTGTTGGTTCCGTACCCCTGGCTGTACAAGTTCCCATAACCACAAGCTCCTCCTACAATAGATGCAAGTCACAAAATGTCAACACTCCAATTAACAAGCCAAGGCACAAACATTGTACATTTATAGAAAATGCTAGATATCACCATATAATTTTTCATAAAGAAATTCGTCATTAGTTAAAAATCAGTGGTGTATGTAACGGTGTTTATAGTGTAGGCATCTTAGACTCACCCATCGTGCCCGAGGCATCACCGCCGCCGTAGAAAGTGGCGTGAGCGTTCTGCCAGCCACCGTAATTGGCGGCGGTGCCATGCAACTGAAGTTTGATGATGAGCATGAGGAAGAGAAGGGGAGCAAAAGACAATGCTTGAATTGCCATTGAAAAAGGTTTTTGGAGAAAACTAAGAAAAATAGAAGAATATTTGACGAAAAGGTATTTTTATTTTTTTGGTTTTTCTGCTGTAGAATGCTGCTCTTGGAGGGCCTCTATTTATAAGGAGAACAAGTGATGCTTAGTCGGGTTTAGACAGCCGGCCAAAGAGACACACAAGTTATTGAGAGAAAAAAAAATCAAGAACTGCACATGCGCTTGTTCTTGTTGGGCCTTAGCTACCAACTGCTAGGACCCTTGGGGCCCCTTGGGGGCGTTTTTTTTTTTTTTTTTTTTTTTTTTTTTTTTTTTTTTGCTTTCTCATCATCTTTTCTTATAATTTCATTAGTTAGTTAATGACTAAGATTTTCCTTTGTTGTCACTAGTACAAGTCTTTAGTTTTTGTGTGTTTATCTGGAAAGCAGGGAATAATACTCATTGGGCCATTGAAAAAGTTGAAAATTGCCCTTTCATTAAGATGATTCCTGCTCAATCGGATAATAGTATATCTAGGCACATGGGAGGAAATAATCATTTCCTAAAAGAAAAAAAAAAAAAAAAAAAAAAAAAATAAATAAATAAGGGAGCTTTGTTAATTAATCAATGCCGTTTTAATTACTTTTGGGGTCCAAATATTGCCCATCAGGCAGTCACACTAGGCCATATATACTCGTCATAGCACTATAGTGGATAAGCATCTTGCTTGGCGAAAACAATAGCTTGTTTAGCATCAACTTGGAGTCTTTATAACTACCTAAAAAAGAACTTGGGAGTCTTTATAAATGTACATTTATAGTGGCAAATAGCGATCACGCATAATAGAGTCCTGGTATTAAGTTTGGTAATGCATGTTTCATGTCCGAAAGTGGAAAGAACATAGCCCCACCAAATGGTCCATATATCCTCCGGATGGCACCAAGACCACAAAATCGTGGCTCTCATTTTAGTATTGTTCTTTCTATGTCCCATGCTCAAATATGGCCTCAAAGAGTTAAATTTCCCCTAAAACTCAAACTCCAAGCAAAATCATATCATATAATTACTATACAAATAGAGTTAATAGACAGCTGGATTATACTATCATTTAATCATATACTATGACGATTGAATTACTTTGTTAACGATCGATATGAGCGTCAATGTTAAAGATTTACAGTGCTCAACACAAAATTACTCCCATTCATAAATCAAATTGTTGAAAAATGAATAAAAAATGGCTAAAACTATAAAAACTACCGGTACAGTGAAAAATAAGAGTTTCAAGTAGAAATTCAGCGTTGAAAATCCAGTCATTCGAATGCTCGGCTGTCGTCGAAACTCTGCCTATAGCCACCATGAATAATAATTAATTGAGAGTAACAAAGATTTCTCAACGGAATGCAGAGTTTGAGGGGCTTACGTGGAGGTGGCAGACATCAGAGATGATATGTCCGCCTATTTGTTGGACGTTGAGTTCACATGCATGGCCGACTTTCATTGAATAGTTAAGGGGTGACGTGGAAAATTTTTCTCAACTTTGCCAATGCCATGCCAATCAAGCAAAGCAATATGACCTTGTTGAAGATGACATGGTGACCTTTAATGTGAGTCATTCCGAGATTGGAGGGTCAAAGTCTTAAAAAAAAAAAAAAAAAAAAGCACCCCATATTTATTTGGCGACTGTGTTATTGTGGCAATATAATGCAATTTTACACGTAGATTTTCGCCTGTATTACGTGACTATACTAAATAGGTGATCACAATAGTTAATATACGGTCAACGGTCAGCCCTGAGCCCTATATATATTTGCGTTGAAGTCAACACTGTTGGTGTTGTTTGTAGATATTTTGTAGCATTAATATTTACTAGATTACAAGGGGTGTACGTATTACATGCAGATGATCATATATGTGTTTTTACGTGACATTCTTTTGATCATATGTTTTGTTAGCACTAGTAGTATTAAAGAACAATATTGACTTTTTTTTAAGTAATTATTATATATGATCAGCAAAAAAAGAAAATTATTATATATGTTTTGCTTGTGAGATCATGGTTAATGATTTTTCCTGTTTTTTAATTGGACAAAGAAAATATATATCCATAAGGATCAGTTTCTTGTGAAGGTAATTTAGAAAGGGTTTAAACTGTAGTGCTAATTATGGCCGGTTGGTATTGGGACTTATGTATCTCATTTTTCAAACTATTACGATCTTTCTTTGTTATTCCATCTAAATAAATATAGACGTATAACTGTGTAAACAATATAAAAGACAATGAGCATCATTTGTAAAAAGATGCTATATGGCTTAAAAAAAGATGCTAAATGTTTTGAAAGACTTCTCATCATATATACTATTTACATATAATATATATATATATATATATATATATATTAAGATTGCATATGGACGTATATTCTGAGAAGTAGAGATGTGCACATCTATTGACATATATATGCAATCGAAAATTGATCAGACTCATGTACAAGCATCAATTAATACACGTTTCATGATCAAAATCTATTCAATGTCGGTGACGCGTGTGTGATTTATTATTGTGGGAATATAGAGCATAAAAATCCAATCTACATGGTTTAATGCATATGAATTTTAAGTTTAAATTAACTCCACAGAATCTTATAGTTGTCATTTCTCAGAAAAAGCAGAAAGTCTAGTTCATTTGCTAAAAGATATAATCTCTATAGCATCCTTTTGTCTTTTGGGATATACCAAAATTTTGATGATGAATAGAAATAGTGGCACTAAAACTATTGCATCCGTTGGATTTTGAAGAAAATTCTAATGGTTTGCATGGGCATCTACAACTTGAGAAAACATTTTTTCCCAAATAAAAAAAATTAAAAACGGAAAGAAAACACAATAAACTTATATATACTTGTTAATTCAACATGTCCTGGAAGGGTGTGACAGATTTGGATTTTGTTGTGTAATTTTGCAGTTTATAAAACACCAAAATCTGCCTTGAAAAAAGAAGAAAAGAAAATTGCTGATCAGAATATACTTCACCAAGAAACAGAAATAGAAACAGCCACGAAAACGCTAAAGCAAGACAAAACAAACAACCAGACTTCTGCACACTTAATTGGTGGTGGTGGGGCTAATTAGGATTAGGTAAAGTTTCCTTCCTAATTAATCTTTTTAAAATAATGTTAGAGATTCTAACATTTATATGTGATTTGTAAAAAAAAAAAAAAAAACTATTATGTCAATTATAATATTAACAGATTACATTTATTAATAAAAAGATTATAATTCACCGCTATATTTGAGTTTGTACCATAAAATTTGAGATAAAAGCTAATAAATTAATATCCTTAGAATTGCTCCTCTATCTCTTCTATTAAAGTGGTACGACACCATTTTTCCTGGTCGTCTCATTTATGAGTTGTTGTTTGAATAGGCCATATATATAGGGCTAATAAATATCCTTCGTTCGTTGTCGGTTCCTGAGACCCTTATATAAAACTATACTCACATTTTCTTTTAGCGGTTTTCACACTTGTCCTGGTTTCATAATCCATATATCATTAATTTCTTAAATTGACTATTGTTGTTGCGATTGCTAATAATACATAGATAGAGACGATGAAATTATTAGTACTTGTCTAAGAGAGAACTCCATTTACAAGTTTTAATGGTCCTACCATGTTAGTAGCACATGCAAGTTCCGGTTTTGCTGCGCCTAATATTCATGCATCGTTTTCAACAATCGTATAACTATAAGAAGAAGCACACCAAAATGAAATAATATATAAAAAAAATTATTTTTTATTTTATTTTTAGTGGTAGCGAACACAAAAAAAAAAAAAAAAAAGGCGATCAGTAACTGCATGCCAAGAGATGAAACAGAGAAATCAATAATAACCCAATTCTCTATGTCTTCTAATTAATACCAGAAAATCTTGCTCCTTTGGCTGCAACATGATTTTTTGTCTGCCCCGCAGAGAATATTTGAGTTGGGTAATTGAGGTTTTTATGGTAGTCTTCGGGATTCCACGAGGATGGGCAATCTATACCAGTGATTTTACACATCTTTCGGAGATTGCCTTGAGATTTTGATTCCCTCAAGGCCATTATTCATCTTTTTGCCACATTTCTATGGATCACTTACATAAAAAAAATGAGATTTATTATTTATATGTTTTTGCTCTGACTTTAATTTTCCAGTTTATTAATATTTTAGATGACGTTTAAAATTTAATTATTAAAGGTATTTGTGAAAATTTAAAACTTTAGGTGAGTGTGAAACGGTATAAAAACATTGAGAATACTTTTTGGATTATCAGAAATATAAGAGCACACATGATAATTAATAAAAACTCAAGGGGTATTTTTTAGATTTTTCCTTTGTTTTTCTAAAAGAAGCTTGTATATATGTACTTGGGATACCAAATTTGAAACTAAACAATAACATGGATAGATTGCAATAATCCAATCATCATAAAGTACCTTAAACAAGGTAAAGTACAATTTTTAAAAATACCCCTTAAAATAGAACCTCTTTCTATTTTTACCCCTTAACATTATCTCATATATTTCTACTTTTTAGACTAGAACTAGTTAAAAGATAAAGATTTTAAAAAAAGTACTTTTAGTAATCATGATTTATAACCATTCTCGATTTACATGTGTTTTTTGTGAGAAAAAATACTGTAGTAAGTTACGAACCATAATTTGAATCATGATACGAATCCTCGTACCAAACACCAATTAATTTACTTAAGAATGTAGAATCAGTAAAGGTAAAAGACAAAAGACAAAGCCCCAATCATATTGTACCAATTAATTTTCTAACAATGCGGTGTACTTGAAAGGCAAAGCATATAATAGTCTAAAGCCAGTGAACTTATTATATCAGCAATATTATAATACCATATATCTGTAGTTACTTAAATAGCAGTTCTAATAATAATCTGCCCGGATTACTTTATAGCTAGCCAGCTACACGTAAAAATTATAAGTTAAAGTAGATTTGTTACACCAACCTATTTTATTGGAGCTTGGTATTGTCACATAAAAATTGCCATCTATCAAAGAGGAAAACAAAATTGTCACAAAAAAAATATCCCAACCACAGAAACAGCCAAAGGCTGCAGTGTGTTCAGCCTAATAGTTAGTAACCCAAAATAAGGAATCTTGGCAGCAGTGGAGATCCAAACAACTTGAGCCATAGAATAAGAAACAGATTTTTCATTTCCTTGTCAATAATGATTTCAACTCCTTTTGAGAGATAATGTCGTAGGGGAAAATAGATTTGGTGATCCGAAAGCTCCGAGACATCCTTTTCCAGGACAATGGTTCAATCAAATTTTAAATAATCCACAAATGAGGCATACAGATTTCTTGAGTATCTTCTTTTGCTGTTAGTTAGGGGTGGCTGAGGGTGCCCTTCACAAGGGGTTGTCTTGAAATAAGTCCCACTGGTCTTGAGTTCAAAAGGGCAAAGCTGTCCTAACAGTTGTTTCATCACTATTTTCTAGATGCCCTTGGTGGGATTAAAGATAGCACGTTTCATTTCTTGAAACAAGTAGTTATGACCCAATATGGACATTCCTTAGTGTGCAGGGGCCGCTTTGATCATGACATGAGGTAACTATTGTTGGCCGCCCTTTCTTACACTTTCACTCACCAAAATTATATGAAAAATACTTGGGAGCGCCATCGGTATTGAGTATCCCAAGTAATAAAGAGTGACTATATACCAGTGTATAGTGTTAAACATTATTGGCGCCCTTAAGCATTGTTCAAAAGATAAAAGGGCAAAGCAGTCTTAAGAGTTGTTTCACCACTGTTTTCTAAGTGAGGGCAAATAGAGAACACCGTTGCAATGAGATTCAGCAGAGGACCCCACTTGAGCCCCCACGAAGATGCAGCTCTCAGTTGCCCCCACCACGTGCATTTTCCACTGGAACTCCAGAAAGAAGGAAGGCAGACTCAAAAATCAACATGGTCCTCTTTTTGAACTTTGTAGTACTGCTACTCCAATTATTTATGACGTTGGGGCTCTGCGTGGAAGTTGATATGTTTCGAACTTTGTCGGGATGAGAGAGTAACATGTAGGATTGTGCCAAGGACCAAAAACTTGTTTAACGCTCCATTCAGTAGCAAAACATACGCAATTGCTTTTATTGAGACGTAATTCCTTTGTCGTTGGTGTTCCATCAGTTGGTTGAAATAGATAATTGGATTTAAGCCACAATCAAAAAATAAAAAATAAAAAAGAAGAGAGAGAGAGAGAGAGAGAGAATTGGAGAATTATACTTTTATGTATAGGGTAGATGAGGCTTAGTTCCATGATTAATCCTAAATTACTGCGGAAATTTCATTTCAATACTTAAAACTAAATGCTGTAGTCTTTATAACTAGTTAAAAATTTTGCTTTCAAACCTTTAACCAAGAGGCTAGAATGAAACTTGCGTCAAAGTCTGGGCTACAAAATGAAGATTTTTCCATGCAATGTAGGAGAAAATGTTTAGGTACTACTCAATTGATTTGCAAGTCTAGTAACTGAAACAAAACTTTCATCATAGTTGAGATCAATCAAAGGACTAATCCGAGTAGATTATATCAATCTGACAACAACCGTTCACTTTATTAGTGACTTGCAAAAATGTTTTATATCAATGTGATACAAACGAAAATGTATCTATAAATCTCAAATTTTTCGTGCTTGAAATAATGCTCTGAACGAACTCGACCCCAGTCAAAATCAAGATCTTCCAACCGCTGAGACATAATAATTCGCAGCACATGTTGATAATGGCCGTCATTGTCAACAAATGCTTGGATAGAACCTAGACGACATCTTAAAAAATACAAGGTCTTTAATGACTTGCTCAGGCTCCGGTCGCATCTCCACCTCTTTCAAGTCTGTGTTGCAACCCCACACCCTAACTGCGAGCCTCCGACACTTGGGAGATGATTGTTGCAGATACGTTTTGTACCAGTTGACAACATCATTCTTTTGGATGCTTTCTAGTTCCTCAGCTTCTTTCTTTGACAAGTCAAAGATGTATCTAAAGATCAATAAGATTTGGATTAGAAACAGCATCAACAAAGCCAAAATTCAGATAAAGAAACTATTAACTTTCGGTGTCATGGTCAGTTAACACACTTTTCATCCTTAGACAAGGCATGTTCTATATTGCGTCACTGAATTACCAGGATCCATGACTGATAACTGAATGAACAGTCATATTCAAATATGATTCAATGGATTAAACAAGGTGACACTGCCATGTAGGACCCCTGCTTTTACATCTTTTCTTAATAACTATGAAAAGCGTATATCAAAGCAGAAAAAGCATTTAAGCAACATTTCTATTATCCCCTGATTGTATGCATATTTGCTCATTTTCTTGTTTCCTAAAAAACAAATAATTAAGTAAAGAACTTCTCAAAAAAAAAAAAAAAAGTAAAGAAGTTCTCAAAGTTCAAATGGATATATGCTGACAAAAAATTCTTATTTACTCGTGGAGAGAACATACTTGTTTTTAGTAAATACCTAGACTAACCACAAAGCGTACACACCTTTTATCAACAATCTGATTCCACAGACGGTTGGTTTCGTATGAAAGGGATGGATCTTTCTCCAATAGCTTTGCCATTAAACCACCTTTATAATTCTCGAAGGAATTATCGTCAAGCCCTTCCTGCAAACGTTAATGCTTTCTCAATAACGTAGGTTTTTATTCAACAATATGCATTATTTTAAGGAAATGACAAAATCTCACGACAGGAATCGATGTATGTGAAGTCAAAGTTTGAATCTATTCAAAAGCAAAGAAAAGCGATCATTTTCTTTAATTAATGCGCTTCTCATGTATTAAATAGAGCATTGGTCTCAAGTATAATCAATTTCTCTCCTTTTTCAATTATCTAGTACTATTCAAGCAAAAAAAATATATATATATCTAGTACTAGGGACTTTACATTGCCAGATACAATTTGCATGCTAAAACAATGTGCCATCTTTCTAGCGCATGGTCTATACCAAAATATGGGTTCACATGACGCACTACTTTAAAAGAGAATTCTGTGAGGCAAGTTTTTAAGTGCACAAAGTTTTTTTTTTCAAAGTATTTTTATGTGTATTTTTAGAATATTTTAAGCGTACAAAATTTTACAACAAATCGATCAAAAGTCAAAGATGGACATGGACCATAAAATAAGCAGCAGGAGTTGGAACATGCTTACCAATAATTCTTCAAGACCACATATGAAATTATCAACTCTCTCTTGCAAATAGATTGGGCTGCACTCGGATGATTGGACACAAAAACAAAATCCAAAAACACGGTATGTTATCCGTGGGCTACATTCGACAACATAACCCAGCTGCTCCTTTGTTCTACATTTGAAATTACGGAAAATAAGTTTTCAGAATGTATCAAAAACATAAATAATCCAGTCAGTTCAAATTCAAGTGGAACAAAGTACTAGCAATGTAAAGCAAAAATGGACTTCAGCGACTAAGATAAAAATAATGGTGACGCAGGCAGTTGTAATTATGCATCATGGTATCACAAATTAAAGAAGATCTAGCTCAAATACGTCTAGATTATTTATCTAACATTCCATCTGAGAAGGGGAAGAAATGTGCTAGTCTTGCAAAAATGATATTTTTGGCAACTTCTGTTTTCTCAGGCTAACATTGACGTAGGAATTGCCATAATACAGTCTCCAGAAAGCGCACGCATCCCCTCCCAACAAAGAATGATAAATAGAAAAGAAAAACCGAATTCAAGAATTAACAATTAGCACGGTCCATTATGAATCACTTCCAGTATCAAAGAAAATCACCTTAGCTGATTAAACATTGGTTCTTCCACTATTTCATTAAAGAGGTCTATCAATGCTTTCAGTTTAATGGAATCCATACCCAGATCCTGCTCAACTTGAAAATAACGCTGCAATTCAAAACCAAAAAACTCAGTGAAAAAATATACAAATACGTACAAAATGAGAACACAAAATATCATACGTCTTGTATCTATAGCTTGTAACTAGAAAAGTAATCCATTACCTCAATAACTGAGTTCTTTTCCATCTTATTCTTCACATTGACATCTCTAACAAGGTTAGCACCAGCAGAAAGACAGATGACATATTCTTTGTGCCTCATTTCATACGGAAGAGGTTGTGCAGAAAAAGTCGTCTTGAATATATTTGAGATTGCAATTGCTTCTTCTTCTAATAAATTACCATGGCAAATTCCCTCCACGTACAGCTGTACAAAATAACAAGTGAGATGTATGTAACAAATGTTTCAGCCAATATATTTTTTTCAACGATCTAATGGAATATAAAAATCTACGAAAACGAATAACTAGATCTATTTGGGGTTATGAATTGGATAAAAAACCACTTGATGTGCGCAGCAGAATAAAAGCAGTCACACACGAATCTTTTAGGTTAGACATCAGACAATAAATTATTAGACATGTGCAGCAGACTAAAAGAACTCAATTTGTAAGGGGATTTGTCCAGCTTTTAGGTCAGACATGTGAACAAGATTGTGCTGGCCTCCACTTATTGCAAGCGACTGCTAAATACTATGAAAAGAGAAGTTGAAATCGTACATAATGATAAACTTGAAGTATTGACTGTACTATGCCATGTCCAGTATGTCATATATCTCTATACCTGGGAACGACACTCGGGAATAAATGCCTTCAGATCATTAACAGACAACCGCTCTAAAAACTGAAGCTTCTCATCGACATCGTAAAAACTCTGACACAAAATTTGCAATCTCAAATATGATGAATGACTCAGAGGCTTCATATTAGTGTTCTTCAATGTTCTTTTCATATCTTCTCTAATCACCTGTTAAATTCAGAATCACCTTATCTATCAAAAGCCATAAAAAAAACAGAAGCTAATGAAAATTAATTAACTTAAATACAAATCAAACAAACTTAACAGGAAGTATAACAATGGGAATAAAAAGTGAAATATACTTCGAATCGATCTTCAGTTGGCAAGAAACTTTTGGCTCTTGCCAGAAGTTTGGACAGGAGAACAGGAAGCTTATTGTTGAAACCATAGATCTTCAGCTCCAGCTTATCACTAAAAACAGATACAGAAGTTTCCAACTTGGCAATGCTGGCCTGCATCAAAGAAAATCAAGCAGGTCACTACAGAGCAAGATTTTGGGAAAATGATAAGCAGAATAGGCGAGTTCAAAGCTAAATTGTGCACAATTATTTCAGTAGCAGAATAAATCTGTCCTTTAATTACTTACTGATGAAGAATAAGAAGTTGACTTTGAGAAGACAAATATAGAAAATAAATTAGATTGATTGGGATTGATTTTCAAGTTCTATCTAATTGATGCAGAACTAGAGAGAAGAAGAGGATTGAGAATAGAAAGAGGGGGAATTTAGAAGAAAGGAGAGAGTAATAGAAGAGGGATTAGGGATTTAGAAAGAAATTGAGATAGAACTTGAGAGAGAGAGAAGAGAAGAATATGAGAGGGAGAAACAATCTGATAATATTTTTCAATATTCATTCAAAATCAAAGCAGTGTCTAAAATTGAAATGATTAAATAAAAAGATTGAAAATGAGAAAAGTTGATCGAGAGAGCTTGCTAATATCTATTAAATGACTGCTATTGGAAAGAACACAACTCAATCTCAAAAGATGTGATTTTAATTTAGTCAAGTTTAAAGGCTGATTATAGTTCTAGATTACGTAAATAAAGCATCTCTGCTAAGCAACCAACCACAACCAGATTTATGACTGCATTGAATGTCACGTTTCCATGAACCAGATAGGAACATTAAGATACTCTTGTGTCAAAAAAGTCATTACTTGTCAAGATGAACTGCTAACCTGATATATAATCTCATTCAGCTCGTCCTTAAGAAGGAGAATAAACAGTTCCGTTAATACACAATTCTTTACATTGTCATATCCACCCTTCAAGTTGATCCTAAAATATGTATTTGCACGAGGAAGTTTGAAAGTGCTATCAAGCTTGTACCAGAACTTTATTAATGGCTCATCAAGTATGCATCTCGGAGAAGATACAGTTGCATGATTGTTTAAATCATTATCGGCATGGATGGAAAAATCAGAAGGAATAAACTCATTTTTTGAAGGCAGATGTAATGAAACATCAATTTCAGGAGGGTCCTTCCAAATATCCATCAGAGAAGAAGAAATATCTTCCTCAATATAGTGCGACCCAAACCAAGGCTCAACTTGGCATGCTGAAAAAGTGAGATTACAGAAGTTGACATAAGACAGCTCAAACAATTTCATATGCATAATTATTTTCAGCCTTCGTTATTTGGATGCAACACACATTTTGTTCCGTATTAGTCACATCCACCAGCCTAACTAATAAATGCTACTTGCAAAATAAGAAGACACAGACTGTAAGGAATATGGAAAAAGGGTAAATTTCTTATATTACTTTTTGGCTGTGAAAAGGTAATAGGAACTCACCTTTTGAATTAAAGGACTTTGATACCACATCAATCCTCATGTTTTCAGGTCTGAAGAAGTCAAGGACATATTTTAATAGTTCCTCATCCCATATATTGTATACATAGTCTCCATAAATAACATGCTCTGCAGGATAAAATAGTAAATTCTCTGCAAAAAAGAAGTTTGACGATGGTTAATTAAATGTATTGACATCCCAAAATATAGCAGATGGTGAGAATTCATTTACATGTAAATAAGATAAACAGACAGTAAATCTGACACCACGAGAGGAATTAATGTCAGATGCAAGTGTCACTTAAGACCGTACTAAATAAAAGGCAAAATAAGGAAGAAAATGAAACGTTAAAAAAAAAAAAAAAAAAAAAAAAAAGAAAAACCTGCAAGTTCTGCAGCATAATCATCCTGCGGCTGCTCTTCTGCAAATCTAAATTCCATGTTTCCAATCTCTTGGAGTTCCTTAAATATCCATTCTTGTGGAGAAACTTGTCGCATTAACTTAAGATATTGATAAACAAAACCAATGATCTCGAATATCTGCAAAAGATGCATTTCTTGTAACAAAAAAATAGAACACACGAAGCAGACTTTTGTTTCTTAAGAGATGTTCCACTTATGATAGGTGCTTCACGGGAACCTTGCAAGTGAGTGTTTATGATTCAATACTGTAGAAAAAACAAACTGTTTTTAGGAAAGAATCCGTGTATAGCTGTAACTGTATCATTAGTTAGATGTCAAATCTATATATTTAGGAAAGTATTGTTAGCAGTTATTTACTTTCTAGAATTAGTGATATTGTTTCCTTTTTTACTTAAGCTGTAATTGTATAAAGGTCTACTCAATGAATAAAATTATTCATTCCCCAATATTCTTTTTCGAGTTGGTATTAGAGCCTCCTTTTGTCCTCCTCTCTCTCGTTCTTTGCTACCCTTAATTCACCATGTCTGATATGTCGACTGAGTCTGAGTCCACTACCATTCCACCCGATCCTATCAAGACTAGCACAGACTCCCACTCTGTTCAGATTACAACCATTTGTTTGAATGGTGATAATTTCCTGCGCTGGTCACAAGCTGTTCGGATGTATATCAGAGTACGTGGAATGATGGGATATCTGATAGGTGAAAAGACAGCTCCACCAGAGACGGATCTAGCCTATGCTACATGGGATGCTCAAAATTCCATGGTTATGACGTGGCTCGTGAATTCTATGGAAGAGGATATTAGCTCTAACTATATGTGCTATTCAACAGCAAAAGAGCTATGGGAAAACGTGAACCAGATGTACTTAGATTTGGGGAATCAGTCAAAGATATTTGAATTGGCTCTAAAAATTGGCAAGATGCGGCAAGGAGAGGACAATATTACCAAATACTTCAATTCGTTGAAGCGTATCTGGCAGGACCTGGATCTCTTCAACACTTACGAGTGGAAATCACCCGAAGATGCAGGTCACCACAAGAAGGTCGTGGAAGATGGCCGTATCTTCAAGTTCTTGGCAGGACTCAATGTTGAGTTTGATGAAGTCAGGGGGAGAATCATTGGGAGGCAGCCTCTCCCTTCGATTGGTGAAGTATTTTCCGAAGTGAGGAGAGAAGAAAGCAGGAGGAACGTTATGTTGGGCAAGAAAGGACCTGGGACTGCTGCGGAGGTCTCAACCTTGGTGACCACTGGGGCAACATCGTCCAAAACTCTTGTGTATCAGCGCATACCTGGTGAGAAACCACATGTGTGGTGTGACTACTGCGACAAACCACGCCACACTTGCGAAAATTGCTGGAGGTTGCATGAGAAACCTGCGAACTGGAAGAGCAAGGCAGGAGAGAAAACTGGACGCTTCCCCACTGCTCATGAGGCCGAAGCCAGCCCCTTCACCAAATAGCAAATGGAGCATCTTCTTACACTGCTGAAATCTGGTTCGTCGTCATCTGATCCTCCTAATGCTTCTGTGGCACCCATGGGTAATAAATCAAAAGCTCTATCTTGCTGCATTAATTCTTCTGCTCCAGATAATAGATTCAGGAGCTTCCGACCATATGACTAATTCATTCAAATTATTTCAATCCTATACACCATATCCTGGAAACAAAAAAATTAAGATTGTCGATGGCAGTTTTTCCCCTATAGCAGGCAAAGGCCTGATACAAATCTCAAAAAAAATAAACCTAAAATCTATCCTCCATGTCCCCAAACTTGCCTACAACCTTTTTGTCTGTTAGCAAACTTTCCAAAGACTCTAATTGTTCTGTTACCTTTTTTGCATCTCATTGTGTTTTTCAGGACAAGAACTCGGGGATGACGATTGGCAGTGCTAGAATGACCGATGGTCTTTATTATTTTGAGGATAATTTACCTAGTTCTAAAATTGCTCAAGTATTTAGTAGTATCAGTTCTATGTCTGCTTATGATCAAATAATGGCTTGGCATTACAGATTGGGCCATCCTAGTTTTATCTATCTAAAACATTTGTTTCCATCATTGTTTAAGAATATTGATCCTTTAATATTTAAATGTGAAAGTTGCTTACTTGCAAAAAGCCAACGGAAAAGTTATATTCCAAGATCATATCAACCTTCAAAACCTTTTTATCTTTTCCACAGTGATGTTTGGGGGCCTTCAAGGGTAACCACAGTTTCAGGTAAAAAATGGTTTGTAACTTCTATAGACGACCATACTCGTCTTTGTTGGGTCTATTTGATGCGTGAGAAATCTGAAGTTGAAAGAATATTTAAGGATTTTTATAATATGATAGAAAATCAGTTTCAAGCAAAGATAAGCATTTTAAGGTCAGATAATGGAACGGAGTACAATAATAAAGTTTTAGAAACCTTTTTACAAGGAAAAGGAATTTTAAATCAATCTTCATGTCGTCCAGATACTCCTGAACAAAATGGAATAGCCGAGCGTAAGAATAAACATCTTTTAGAAGTAGCTCGAGCTATGATGTTTTACACGAACTTGCCAAAATATTTGTGGGGGGGTGCTATTTTGACTGCATCATATTTGATTAATAGAATGCCTACTAGAGTTTTACAGTATATCACTCCCTTGGATTGCTTAAAAAAAAATTTCCAGAATCCCGAATAAACTCTGATTTGCCATTAAAAGTCTTTGGCTGCATTGCCTATGTGCACATTCCAAAAAGATCACAGTCCAAATTAGACCCAAGAGCAGAAAAATGTATTTTTTTGGGCTATGTTCCAAATCAAAAGGGTTACAAATTTTCTAACCCATTGACCAAGAAATTTCATATTACCATGAATGCAACTTTTTTGGAAAATTTACCTTTTTTTTGCAAAAATTTAATTCAGGGGGAGAATTCAGGAAAATCAAATTTTTGGGAAACAGAACCTTTACCACAAATATTTTTTGATCCTATTAAAGTAAAATCTACTGAAATAGATAAGGAAACTAGGATCAATCAATCTGGAAACACTGAAGTTGACATTGGTCTGTCATATATGGAAATATTACGAATGGAAAAAAATCAATCTAATCTTGAGCCTGTGGTTTATTCTAGGAAAAATATCCTTGAAAGAGATAAAGATTATTTGTTTCGCTCAGCACGCGACCATGAGGAATTCCCGAGTGAAGTCCATCCAAACGCACTAGGTAACTCACCTTCCTTATCTTATATTCCAAATTCTAATGAAATAATTTCTCTTGAATCCAGTCCGGGTCCTATACCTGTTATTCCTACCCAAGAAACAGGCCTTAATCTTCCCATTGCCTTACAAAAAGGAACCCGAACCTGCACTAGACATCCTATTGCAAAATACATCTCCTATGACAACCTTTCTACCAAGTATAGAGCCTTTACTACAAAGATTTCAAAACTTGTGGTGCCTAGAAATATTAAGGAAGCATTAGATGAACCGAATTGGAAGTCAGCCGTGCTTGAAGAGATGGAGGCATTGAGGAAGAATGGTACGTGGGAGGTGGTTGAGTTGCCTAGTGAGAAGAAGGTTGTGGGGTGCAAATGGGTGTTCACAGTTAAAAGTAAAGCTGATGGTAGTATAGAGAGGTATAAAGCCAGGCTAGTAGCAAAAGGCTTTACTCAGACCTACGGAATAGATTACCAAGAAACTTTTTCCCCTGTTGTGAAGATAAATACAATACGTGTCTTGTTGGCTCTTGTTGTGAATTCTAACTGGCATCTGTTTCAACTTGATGTAAAAAATGCTTTTCTCAATGGTGACCTAGAAGAATAAGTATTTATGAGCCTACCACCAGGCTTTGAGGAAGAACTTGGGGTAGGAAAAGTCTGCAAACTAAAGAAATCCCTGTATGGACTCAAGCAGTCACCTAGAGCATGGTTTGATCGTTTTGTCAAGGCAGTGAGGAGGTACGGTTTTATACAGAGCCAAGCGGACCACACCATGTTTTACAAGCATTCAAGAGAAGGTAAAGTTGCCATCTTAATTGTGTATGTTGATGATATTATCTTGATAGGAGATGATTGTAGTGAAATAGATACACTAAAGAGGAGATTAGCCGAAGAGTTTGAAATCAAAGACCTGGGAGTGTTAAAATACTTCCTTGGAATGGAGTTTGCAAGGTCTAAGGCATTATTGTAAATCAATGTAAGTATGTACTTGATTTACTTGAAGAAACAGGTATGTTGGGCTGTAAATCGGTAGAAACTCCTATGGAACCGAATGTGAAACTACAACCAGCCAATGCTGAAGATGTAAAAGATAAGGAGCGATATCAAAGACTTGTTAATAGACTTATTTAACTGTCACACACGCGTCCTGACATAGCTCTCTCTGTAAGTGCAGTTAGTCAGTTTATGCACTCACCTGGTCCTGAACATTTTGAAGCCGTTTACAAGATTTTAAGGTATTTAAAGGGGACACCAGGTAAAGGGCTTTTCTTTAAATCCCGAGGACACCTTCAAATTGAGGCCTACACCGATGCAGATTGGGCTGGGAGTATAGCTAATAGAAGATCCGCTTCTGGGTACTGTACTTATGTTGGTGGTAACTTAGTAACTTGGCGTAGTAAGAAGCAAAATGTGGTTGCAAGGAGTAGTGCAGAGGCTGAGTTCAGGGCGGTTGCCCTTGGTATTTGTGAAGTAATGTGGATCAAGAGAATATTACAGGAGTTAAGAGCTTCAGAAGATCTACTTATGAAGTTGTATTGTGACAATAAGGCTGCTATTTCTATTGCTCATAATCCAGTTCTCCACGATCGCACGAAGCACGTTGAAGTGGACAAGCACTTTATCAAAGAGAAGATAGAAGGCGGTTTGGTATGCATGATCTATGTTCCGACTGAAGATCAAGTACCTGATTTGCTCACAAAGGGACTATCTAAAAAACAGTTCGATTTTTTAGTAAGTAAGCTGGTTATGAAAGATATTTTCAAACCAGCTTGAGGGGGAGTGTAGAAAAAACAAACTGTTTTTAGGAAAGAATCCGTGTATAGCTGTAACTGTATAATTAGCTAGGTGTCAAATCTGTATATTTAGGAAAGTATTGTTAGCAGTTATTTACTTCCTAGAATTAGTGATATTGTTTCCTTTTTTACTTAGGTTGTAATTGTATAAAGGTCTACTCAATGAATAAAATTATTCATTCCCCAATATTCTTTTTCGAGTAATACATTTCTCCAAATTTTGGAAAACAAAGGGAAAAATGAGGCCAATTGCTCTAAATAGAAACCATATTACTAATTACTAGACAAACAAACACCAAATCACATTAATTAAAATCATTATTCTCTGGTATCCCAAAAAGACATCAAACACAGTACCTTTTCCAAGCCAGAGTCAGTGAGGCGCATGGACATCCCAAAGATATACGCGATAGAAGAGTGGTGCATTCCTTCATCCCCAACACCAGCAGACAGAGATGTTGTCCAACCTCTAGCCTTGAGAAAGGAAAGCAAACTACCTCTACCCTCTACAAACGGACAACTTAAGTTCAGTACAAATAGTCAAGCAAACACCATTTACTGGACAAAAGATATAAAAGATCAAAAGTAGAGAAATGGAAACTAAGCAATGTGCAAAAACAATGCTATTCAGAGAGAGTGCAGAGATTATTTTAGAAGCTACCATTCAGAAATGGTGACAGGAGGGACTAAAGCCTAAACTATCTTGTTTACGGACCTCTGAGCGCCATACTAGATGAAACTCTAACACTACATTAATTCTTTACGGATCTCTAATGGGATGTTTGTTTTATATATTCGTCCCTGATTCTGAAGCATGATTCATGGTTCTCTACAGTGTTTTTCTCTCACAAAAAATACACGTAAAACAAAAATAGTTTTGAATCATGATTGTGAATCCATGAACTAAACGTCCACTAAGTGTCATAGTATTAAAACTCAACACAACAGTAATTCAATCTTTGTGAGTACCATACTAGATCCTCTTACCATGCCCAAGGAGATGCGCCATATAATCTTCTGGTTTCTTCAAATACTCTTGACGAAGACATGGCAATGTCCAAGTTAAGTCGAGAATATGAACATCTTTAACAGCCTCTAGCCTATAAACTTTTCCTGGTTTCCAAAAAGGACCTTCCACTTTGAACTCTGGATTTATCCGGGGGCCCTTTCTAATGTTACCAAATAATTCCACAACCCAATTCTCAAGAACATCAAGTGATTCTGCAGCAATTGTACACTTATAATTAATATTGGTGAGTAGAAAAAATCAGATTATCAAATGCATATAGATTATAGAAATAGAATAGGGAAACAAAGCAACAATGGCACCACGAAGATATAAGGGAAAAGAATACTTTACCTCCACCAATGACGACTAGCTTCATTAATCCACCATGGTAAAAATCTTTGTACAAGTTCAATATTTGTTTCCGCAAGTTAATCCCTTTCTCCATCGCATCAACCAGGCTCTTCTTATTCCCTACCAGGAAAATATAATATTTTACACAAACAGATACCATTTTAACAACAAAATGAAATATAATGGGTTCATACTTACCCCAAAAAAATCTGTTAAAAGGGTGACCAGGTGATGCCGTATGGCACTGAAGTTGTTGCAGACGGCAAGCATCACTTTGCAAAACCTGGTTAAACTCTATTTTCCATAACAGTGCATAATTTATTAGCAACACAACATAACTGCTAGAAATTTGGTTCATTTTTAAGAAGTAAAAACTACAAACAGTACATTTAGATAGCAAATACCTGAATCTACAGCCTGGACTTCTCGTTCCATTGCTTCCATTTTTACTAAAGGTGAAACAAAGAACTGAGAAAATCTGATAGACCAAACACAACACTAAAAAATAAGTCTTTCACATTCTTGTTTAATATTTCTCAAGAGAGAGAGAGAGAGAGAGAGCAAATTGTAGAAATAAAAATTTAAAAGACATCAATTTAATTAACTGAATTGCAGTTCCTCTAAGAAATGTCACTTTCGTGCTAATAATCTATCAGAAAATGGAGAGAAAATGTAATGCCAACAAAGGAAGCATGAAGAGAGACTAAAACTATACTTTATCCCCCACACAAAATATAATAAAATAAAGATAAAAGCAAAAACTACGATAACTGGTGCATGATGAGATCAGTGTTACCTTCTTAAGGCACCCTTAAGGAACTCCCGTTTCACTTCAAAATGGTAGCAGGTATGCTCCGTTTCTGTATACGCGTTTGATGACCCTCCATGCTTGGACAAATAACTATCATACTAGCAAAGGAAAGAGTCAATTCGGTAGCCGGAATATGTTAACATTACGACACATTGTGTTCTCTTTCTAGACATGAGAAAAACATACATAAAGCGTTTGTCCAAGTGAAAGAAACTAAAGTAATAATTATTCTATAGATAATCAATAAACTGACATCCTGGCCATGAACCTTAGTTCTCCAATTTCATAAGTGGACAAAAAAAAAAAAAAAAAAAAAAAAAAAAACCGCAACGATTCTTGAAAAAATAAACCTCTCTCTTGATTTAAAGGGAAAACCATATTTAATATCGAAAAGTATTCATATTCAATTTGTTTATAAAAGCAAATTCCAATCAAGGTCATCTCCAACTAAATTCAACTAGGATTTTGCCATCCCCACCGTGACTTAAGCATCAAAATAAGTTAAAGAGATGAAAGGAGGGGAAAAAGCAATACTAGAATTTATTTTTCCTTCAAACTCAAAAGTAGTGTTTAAGTTAAAAGAAATGGATAAGCAGACCTCATTTTCATCGGGAAATTCCTTGCTCCCCATGAAGAGCATATGTTCTGCAGATTCAGAACATACAATCTGTCAAGACTCTGACTATCTATGTATGAGCATATTAAAAATTGGGAAATACAACACGAGAAAATAATAGTGAATTGAATAAGAGTAAAGAAAGAACAACAAACCAAGAAAGTGTGCGAGCCCTTGCGCCTCAAAAGGGTCAGAGAAGCTGCCCATTCCCACACACATTGCAGCAGCCGCCTGTGCAGAAAAGAGAAGTATACATATAGACTCAAACTTCCAACAAAATATGGATAAAAAAACATTGAAGCAATTGAAGTAAATAAATGGAGAACAAACAGAGTTTATTTGTACTATATAAAGACTGGATAAGATAAACTAATTATAAATTGGAGACTGCAGTTCTTTGATAAAAATTTATTGAATTTCCATCACATTTAGATAACAAGCAATAATGCACCTGTAAGTTGCTAATTGATATAAACATCAGCAAATACCAAGAAAATGAGAATATTTTTCCCCAAAAAACAAACTTGCCAATTGGAAAAGACTAGGCAACCGAACAACGGCATTGAAGTGGCTATTTCTAGGTATTCAGCACAGCCCTAACTAAATCGAATCCCATATTTTCCACTCAGCCGCAATTTCCACAACTACTAATTCATTCAGGCGTATGCTAATTCAAGAACTCCATTTTGCATAAACATGAAATTGTGATTGCAGATTCAAATGCGATAAACAGGCACAAACCTTCTTAGTCTGGGAAGCACCTCCCTTTCCTTTCCCTTTCCCTTCATCGCCCCCATCCTCCTGCTCATCATCTTCACCTTCTTCAGCTTCGTCGTCTTCGTCGTCTTCTTCCTCATCGTCCTCATCCTCTTCTTCCTCACTGCCGTCCTCGGTCTCGTCTCCATCGCCATCGTCCTCGCATTCCATATCTTCGGCCTCGCTGTTCTTGTGGTCGGGAGGCCCGTCGGGGTAAATCTCGGGATCGTGGACGAGCAATGCGGAGAGGCCATTGTCAAGCTGGATTACTCGGTACAGCCGCCGGTCGTTCGGAGACTTTTTGACGATGTTATCGGCGGAGAAACTGCAGCCACCGCCCCCCATAGTATCTTTTCTCAGAGGTATAGAGAGAGTGAATTCAGATTTTCTCGGGGAGAAGGAAATCTATAGAAACATAGGGCATGTTTTTTAACTAACTTAAATCACAACTCAAACTCTTCGCTTTCGCCAGAGTATTTTTTTCTTACAAAAATTTAAATATAATTTTTTTATTATAGTATTTTCTCTCATATATTAAGCTTAAATTTTTAACTTAAGTTCAAGAAAAAAATTATGCCTATAGAGTTTATATGTGACTGTGAAATGGAATTTAGTGGATATTTAGTTTATAAATTCAGAACTATGATTTAGAACTATTATCAGTTTATGTGTTTTTTATGAGAGAAAATACTGTAGTGAACCACGAACGATAATTTAAATCATGATATGAATCTACCAACTAAACGCACACAGTTTTTCCAAGTGTATGCGTTTGTGAGAAATCAATGTCTGTGAGCGACTGCATATTACATAGCTTACGCACTATAACGCGCGTTTAGAATTAAATGTAATTTTTTTTAATGATCGTAAAATTATATCTTAATTTAGTTTTTCATTTTTAAAAAAAAAAACCTATGTTTGGTAGAGTGGAAAAGAGTGAAGAAAGAAATCAGAGAAAGAATTTTAAAGAGAAAAAAGAAATCTTAGGTTGTTTGGGAGAGAAGAAATGGGGAACATGGGAAGGAGAGAAATTGTAAATCTATGGGGTTGATATTTTTCGATCCTTCCAATTTTAAAAAGAAAAGAGGAGAAACAAATTTCACAAGTAATTGAGATGTAAAATAACTACTTTAACTCTAAATTATTCACCGTATTTTTATTTGTACTAGTTATAAACACACGCACGTGCGTGCATTCTTTACAACTTTTTACATGACAATATAAATTTTTTTCTAACATTTAGTTATATTTATTTATTACTCACATAATAATTGAGTTTAGTAAAAAAAAAAAAAGTTTAGTAAAACACATTTAAAAGAAAAAAATCACATAATAATTTATTTATGAAAAACATATAAAATGAAGGATTTTAAATAGAGTAAAGTGAGAAAAAAATCATTGAAGTATTTTGTAAAAAAATTAAATTACAAAAGAGCACTTGCCAAGAGATTAAAAAAAACTCTAAAAAATAGAAAAAATAAATAGAAATAAGAAAAAATAAATATAAACAAAAGAAGATTAGAAATAAGAAAATGTAAAAAATAAAAACAAAGACAGAAATGAGAAGTTCGCATGTGACAAAAAGAGCAACATCTTTACTTCTTTTATGTATGTTATGTTAGTATAAGCACGCGTTATGCGCATGCATTCTTTACATTTTTATATCAAAATATAAATTTTATTCTAACATTTAGTTGTATTTATTTATTACTCACCTAATAATTGAGTTTAGTGAAAAAGGAAAAAAAAAATTAGTAGAGCACATTTAAATGGAAAAAAAATATCAAATAGTAAATTATTTATGAAAAGGTATAAAATGAATGATTTTAAATAGAGTAAAGTGAGAAAAAAAATATTGAAGTATTTTGTAAGAAAATTAAATTATAAAAGAGGATTTGGCAAAAGATTAAAAAAAATCTAAAGAAAAAAACAAAAGAATAATAGAAATAAGAAAAAGTAAAAATAAACAAAAGAAAATTAGAAATAAGAAAATTTAAAAAAAAACAAAAAAAAAGAGATAAATGAGAGGTTGACATGTGGTAAAAGAGGAGCAACATATTTGTTTCTCAACCCCAAATTGGTGTGGGATGCACACATTCCCACTCTCATTCCAAGATAAAAATGGATAAGTAAATATGAGGTTGATTTCGATTCTTAATTCTCATTCCCCACTCTTGGTAAGTAAACATGCCATACAAGTTTTGATGAATGGATTTGCGGATTGAGCATTTTTCAATTCGTAAAATCCGCGAATCCAAAACATATTATATATACATATAATATATATAATTTAAGGTAAGTTTTAATTTTCGTTTGAAATTATTTATTTATTTATATAAATGAAAGATTTCATTTTGGATTTTATTGAATATATTTTAAGTTTTAATTGGCCTGTAACAATTTAGAATTTGTTTAAAGATTTTATATTATGTTATGTTTATGTGGGTTATATATGAATGTTGTAAATTTTGAAATTTAAAAATGTTATTGATAAATGATGAAGATTTCATATTGTGTTTATTTTGTACGAATATTTAATAATTTATTAATTTTAAATGTCATAATCCGTGTAATCCGTAAATCCAATCTGTAAAATCTAATATGTTTTATATTGTATTGAATTGAATCCGGAAAAGGTTTTGGATTAGACACGGATTATAATTTTCTTATTCAAAAGCTTTAGATTCAATTGTGGATTGACAACACTTAATCTGCAAATTCCAATTCATGAACACCCTTATTAACATTTATGTCATCTAGTTGTATAAATTTTAGATTTATGTTACTATGTTCACTTGAAAATGTCTAGTCTTTTATGATCAGTAACATAAATGCAAAGTTTTTGAATTTGGATGGAATGCTATGTAATTTTCTATTTTTTAGGGCTTTGTTAGTTAGTAGTAACTTTTTAAACTTGGGTTTGTTTCGTTTAACCTTAGGTTTAAAAATTGTGTTTTTGGTGGAGTTTCCCCTAGATTTTAGACAGAATTTGAAGACTGGTCCCTTTTTTATGTTGGATAACACTTCCTCCCCCAATTATTTTGCTTCAAATTTTAGAGATTAGAAAAACAACATACAACATTTTTACGCTTAAAGTCATGATGCCGTTTCATGTAAACCATATGTTGTTTATGTTTTCAAGTTTGTTGTCCTCTAACTCCTAAAGAATGTCGCTTGTACTTTACAATTTCACTATTTTGAAACGATATATATAGGCCCAGTTTATTTTACTGATTCGAGTTTAAAATTTGAGTTTTGTTACATTAAAAAGCTCTCAGAAACAGTCACATCTAACTTTTTTGTTACAGTAAAAAGCTCTAACATAAAATTACATCTAAACTCGAATTAAAAACTCGAATCAACAAACTAAACGGGCTTATAGTTTGCCTTTAAAAAAAATAGAATAAATCTATGAATGGTCTCTGAACTCTTTTCTCTCTCTAAAATTAGTCTTTGAAGTTAATTTTATCTCATAAACAGTCTTTGAACTCTAGAAAAGTCTTATAAATAGTATTTCTGTTAAATTTTAGATGGAAACCATTAACTTTGTCTCATAAAAGGTCATTTCACTATCTTCTTTCTTTATAAATGACCCTTTATTAGAAGTTGTATTAAATTTAATTTCTAAACTAAAAAAATAATAATATGCTAAAATTAATTCATATGTTAAATAAATAGAAGGAAACATTAAATATCAGTAGTTGTAAAAATTAGTCTCTAAATTGAAAAAATTGTGATTCTATTTACACTAATTACTATATAACCCCACGTGAGCAAAAATATTTTTGTTTTTTTATTACAATACATAAAATAATGGCTTCGTTTGGGATTGATTTTGAACCCGTCAAAAGCACTTTTTTAATAAGTTTTGGGTTTATTTGTGTTTGGTAAAAAGAGTAAAAAGTGCTTGTGAAAGAATTTTTGAATTATGGGATGCCAAAATCAGAAGCAGCCTTTATGCTGCTTCTGATTCTAGATTGTGCGGCAATCTAATTTGCCTTTTAATGAAATTTTTGTTATGACCATATTACCCCTGCTGAATTAGAAAAATCCCAAACCAAATTTTTCTAGATCTCTCGAAGAGTCTTTCTTCTTTCTCGAGTTCTCAGGCGCACTCTCTCTCTCCCTCCATTTCTCCTCTCTCTCTCTCTGTTGTCTCAGTCTCCTCTGTGCTCCTCAGGGTTTTAGGAGGCCCATGCAATTGAAGTTTTGGCGGAATCTCTCTCTCATTTCTCTGTCAAACAGGTCCGTGGTGGTTAGGGTTTTATGATCTCGTCGTGCGATTGTGGGATTGCCGGTTGGAGCTCTTCACATCAAGACTATTGCCTCTGTAAGTACTCAATTGATCTTCTTTTGTCTCGATTGGTTATGTTTTCACGGAAATTTTTTGCTCTGGATTCGTTTCTCTCCATTTCGAAAGAGTTTTCCTGTGAAGTTTATTTAGTGTTTGCTTCAATTCTGGCTTAGTTTGGTAGTCTGTAAGTGCTTGTGGGCTATATTTTTTCATGTTTAATCTGGGTGTTTTTGAGAAATGGTTTTCGTGGGAGATGGAAGGGGAGCCATGGAAAACAAGTTCTAGAGGGGAAAAACAGACTTATTTTTTGTTGCTATACATGGAAAAACAGATGCCTGGTATTTATATGATTAGGAATTGTAAATTCATTGGGTAATGCATAAATTTTGCATGAATATTGCATTTGCATCCATGCTTTCATTTCTTCGGAATTCCTTTTTGCAGTTAGTAGAAAACTATCCATTTAGAGAGCGATTCCTTTTTGCTGGTAGAATGCTAAGGTAGTTAGGTATGTTTGATTAAATTTTCATGAACTAAGACCATTGCAGCTCATTTTTATTAATCTACTAGATGTTTCTAAAATTTGGAAATAAACAGTTAATGGAGGTTTTGTATGGTGATTGCCTTTTGAAATGATTAAGAGTAGTCAGAAGAACGCTTGTGTTGGGGATGGTGGGGGGCAAAAAAGATGTGCTTTATTTTTATTTTTTTTCCCTTGGATTTTAGGCCTCTAGTTTGAAATCGATGGAAATTTGCTCTCATGTGTATGTTGGCCATTGTTGAATATATGGACGACATGTATACTTACTAGCTATCTCACACTTATGTGCATATATATATTATTTTATTTTTAGATATATACGTGATATGTGATAGATAACAAAATATCCCATGTACACCCTCCTTTTGTAAGCTTATAAGTCAGTCTTAAAATATAAGAAAAAGCTAATTCTTATCCAAGGCAATCTATTACTTGCTTAGATTTACCATGGCCCAGTAATATTTGGTTGCCTCCTCCAAATGAGAAAGATAAAGATTATAACATTTGCCAAACTTTCAGTTAGCATTTCCCAAATGAAGGGTGCTATACCA